AATTTCATCCCCCATCCCCCTGCTTAATATTTCATGCATAAAATATAAATAAATAAATTTGGAAAGTGTATGAAAAAAAATTGCAAGTTATACGCTGTCCACTCTATATTCGTAGACAACGAAAATCAAAGGACGATAACTGTGTCCTTGGACCTAATAGGATCGAAAAACTGGACCAATTCTAATAAAACTTTGCATGACCTAAGCTTAGTGAATTATAAGATAGTTGGCCAAGTTTCATGGCCATAGGATATATATTATAGAAACAATGGCCATTTTAATATTGAACTTTCTATGTTAAGGGGGTCTATAATTCAGTTTGACAGCTTCAGGCATACTAATTTTTTACCTTTTTTAACTGGACCAAATCACTACTTTACATAAAAATTCATCACCCAATTTTTTTTAACATGTAATTTCATCCCCCCTTAAATATAAAGAAATAAATTTGGAAAGTGTATGAAAAAAATTTGCAAGTTATACACTGTCCACAAAGGGACTATATTCGTAGACAACGAAAATCAAAGGACGATAAACGTGTCCTCGGACCATTTCATATGGGTTACTTGTACTGTAGAAAGTAATATTCATGTGAGTTATTGCTCATTCTTTTCGCCCATCTTAATTTTGTTTGTGGTGATATAAAAATACTTTTAACAACCATATGGAGTCTTTCGTTAAAAAACACACTGTGTCAATAACCAATACATGAAATAAACAATGAAAATATATATAAAAATGAGTTGCCTTAAAAAGCAATGACTTTAATTCTTCAGAAGGAACAGATCCTGAATCCCCAAAGACTCTGTGGTATACCATCTGAAAACAAAATACTTTTATACAATAACTGTCAATGATGCTTCGTGTTAAAGACTTAAAGACACAGTACTTAGTCTTTTTTATATAAACAGTGACATTCAAACTATTCCTATTACAAATTGTATTGTAAATGACACTTTGTCTTACAGACTTAAAGAAACAATACCTGGTCTATTCATATAAACAGTGATCTTCAAACTATTCCTATTACAAATTATATTTTAAATGACACTTTGTGTCACAGACTTAGAGATACAATACTTACTCTATTTATACAAACAGTGATCTGCAAACTATTCCTAATACAAATGTCAATACCAACAATGACATATAACGGAAAAGTATTAAGAAAACAAAAATGAAAATGGGTAATTTTTCCTGTTTATAAAAAGCTAAAACTTTGCAGATTTCAATTTTCAAAACACTGCTTTGTTATAATTCTTTATATTTGATCATGATAACAACCAATCAGATGTACAAAGGGAAATTGGTCTTCAGTTTTACAGAAAATTTAAACCTTCAAAAATGGGAAAACAAAGCATTTCAGCATGTCTGAAATCATCCCTGTTTAAAAAAAAAAAAAATAGAGTATGAAACAAGGATGATTTTTTCTTTTAAAAAATAAAAGCAGCAAATTATATGAATGATTAAGTAATGGACAAATCCAGAATCCAAGCAGTTAACATATTCTCAAAAGTGGGAAAGTAACATCTTTGTTAAAGTTCATTTTCTTTTTAATTTGCTGTTTGCCATATACTGAATATAATTGAACTGAACTGAACATCTCCTGTAACCATGGATATTTTGGTGGGTTGTTATTTTCAAGATTTCAATGACTATTCATCAGGCATTTAATTAGCACAAGGAATGATAAGTAAGCACTTCATATAAATTTTGTTGATTTGTAAAACTATCCACGTGGCGGACATTTTTACGCCTTTTTACATGTACATGGTCCAGAAAGAAGCCTAAATAACCACAATGAGAACAATTTAATGTTTCATTAATAAAATTGATGTTAACCTGTGGAAATTTGTTTTGTTCTTTAAAAAAAATTCTATACAGAAACTCAATCAAGAGACAAATAAGCTAAATATAATAACAATGCCAGAGTTTCGATAAACTTAATTGATATAGAGTGACATAGAACATACATGTAGTAATCTAAAAAACATCACAAAGGATCTGATCCACATATTTTTACAGTAGAGCCCATAGCATTTTGATCTTCTTCATTATTTTCTCCTGATGTTTTGAGATACAATGCATTTACAAAACTCTGGGTGTTAGGTTGGTATGATTCGTTCTGTCTACTGAATCTTATGATAAATAAAATGACAGCCACTATTACAAAACATCCCAATATACCAATTACGATTCCTATTATTTGTCCTGTCGTTAAACCAGTGGTTACTCCTGAAACTGACAAAAAAAAAATAAAAATAAAAAAAGAATAAAAAAATCATCTTAAAGTTTACAATAAATTTCTATAAAGAAGGAAATCGTATTCATTCGATGATTATTGTCTGAAATAACTTAATAGATTATCACTTCAATAAAATTATAAAATCATAATGCCTGTGATCACTGAAGTAAAGAGTGCTTTTATTTTGAAGCGGGAACTAAAAACTAAACATTGCATTGCATTTGAAGGCAATACTTTGAATGGAGATATCTTCCTTTGTCCATAATTGTAGCTGAAGTGTTTGAGTCAGAAGGTGTGCTTATTGCATAAGAAACTGATGTTGGCTTGTTTGTTAGGTGAACAATGCAGACTTTATTAGCTATTATATAGACACACTGGTTACACTGATTTTTATTCATCCTTTTGTTACCTGTTCCATGATTGATCATAATTTGATTAGCTAATAATTAAAACTTCTTCTTCTTTCACAAAGAATAAGCAAATGTATTAGTTTTATGGTCCACCAAGCAAATTTCATTGGTTTTTGTACATACTCAAACAGAACAGAAAAGAAAACCGACCATGACAAGGGTTTTTGATTGAACGGTTATTGTTTTACGCTGCATCAGTACAAAAAGGCTATAACGCGGCGAAAAATGACAAAGGCGGCCAATGCATAACAATTTTGTCTCACATAAAACCTTTGATACATGTAAGCAAAAATTCTTAATCCTAAGGGGAGGAAAAAATCTTATGTTAATAGAAGCTTAGGATATATTTATAAGATATTCAAAAGTTATGTACCTACTAACCTAGGTCTACCTGCTTAAACAAAAGTTTATGAAATCTGTCATTCATGATTTAATACCTCTTTTTTGACTAATGAATTCTTCATCTCTTGGTTTTGCTACAGCTGGTGTCGTAGTTGCTGGCAAATATGTATTTGTTGCTTCAGTTGTTTCCATGGCAATATTAGTTACTGAAATGAAAGAAAATCATTAATAAAATAGGTCTATAATTTCGGCAATGATGATCCAGCAAAATCATGACCATCTTCAAGTTTGTCATCTCCTGGGTAAAGATATTACCTATGTTTCTACAAACACAAATAACCAACGATAACAAAGTTTGCATTATGTTCCCAAATGTCTTTAAAACTGATATGCTTATTCAAGAAAAGATATCTAAAGTTTATATTAACATCACAACTGATAAAAAGATATCTAAAAGAATAGAAAAGAAAGGATATGGAGTATCCATCCATAAAACAAAATCAGTACATGCACAGCAAAAAAACACAAAAAGCAAAGGAACAGAGCTTTTATTACTGTGCTCTATCCCGAAGTCACAGTGACGCCTTGAAATCGGAGCAAAAACTCTCACCTCCCTGCAAGTTTAAGACGGCCCCTATAAGTTCATGCATCACAACTAATGAAAATAAATCTAAAATTCATGTTAACATTAACTAATGAAAAGATATCTTAATTTCATGTTAACATCACAACTGCCTGATTTGTAGTCAAACAGGTTCTAAACGTGTTAACTTGAAAAAAAGGAGAAGTTGGGTATACACCAATGAGACAGGAACCAGTCACAACAACAAAAAAACTCAAAACATCTTGAGGTCAATATACATGTAAGGTCTTCAGTAAGAGATAAATGTGTATAAGATATTCCAAGCTGTTTATTGCTTTGAGTTCAGAAACAAACTAAGTGGAAATGTTTTTTGTGGACAAAAACGAATGTTACCCTTCACTCCCATAAAAAAAAGGTACAACAGACACACTAATTCTAGTACTGTAATTAGAAATTTTATTGTTTATAGGTTAGGTTTTTAACTGCTTTGAATTATTTTTAAAACTATCTATGATATGACCCTCCTGACAACAACATCTATGTTACACTAGAAAGGTCGCTCACAAACATGTTTAACCCAGCAACATTCTTTATGTACCTGTCACAAGTCAGGAGCCCGTAGTTCAGTGGTTGTCGTTGGTTCATGTCTGTCATATTGCTTCTTCGTAAATTGTTTTGTTATGAATTAGGCCCTTTGTTTTCTCATTTGAAATGTTTCATACTATAATTGCTTACATCAACTTCATTTGAACTTTGGTAAATAGTTGTCTCTTTGGCAATCATACCACATCTTCTTATTTTTATATTGTCATGATAATTTAGAAAATATATGGTTAAGACATTGTGTGAAATCTTAAATTTGAAAGTGTTATAGCAACAAATTGAAAAAAAATGTCTACTATACCTATAAATTGACTTGACAACTGATACGAAACGATAGTAAGCTGTACACAAACGACAAAAGAAATGAAGTGGAATTTAAATTTAATGGGATGTTTTCGACACTGGCATGAATTTATATATCCTTTTTCGAAATATGCCTTTACGTCTTCAATCTGGGACTAAAAGAAGAGATATATTATCCCAATTCAAACCCAATGAATTCAGCGTTTGTTTTTATTTGAACTTTGTATATATACAGCTAATACAAACTTTATGATTTCCATGTTAAACATTTTAGTTTTTAATGTCTCTGTTTTGTAGATGCTGCATAGAATATGATGTTATTTGTAGATGCTGCAGAAAATATGATGTTGTTTTTAGATGCATAGAATGTTATAGTTTTTCTTAAGATACTGCATAGAATATGATGTGAGTACTTATTTGCGATAAGTTTCTATTTGGAACCCCTCCACATCCTTTTCTTCTAAAACTTTTAAGGTTAATTTTATGAAAGAATGTTATACAGATAAAACCTAACCTGCTTTTGTTGTAGCTGTAGTGGTGATTGGCGGTGTAACTGCCTCATCTGAAAACAAAGAAGAAGAAATAGAATACAATGTTAATGAGGTCAAATGTGTTTTAAACTGTTTATTGTCATAAAAATCGCCCAAAGAATTTATCCACCTATAAATATCTTTGTTTTTACCAGAAACGTAATATCGGCTTCTTTTATTCTTTTATCTATTTTAAAGGAGTAGGGGCTGTGTGGGCCTTATGTGGACCCCAATATCAAGTCCTCATTTTTCAAAATGCAAAGTGTTTCAATTTCATGAATAAACATGCAAGAAGTGAAATAAAACAATTTTGTTATTATTTCCTCTCAAACACCAAATTGGCCAAAAACAGTAAATTTGGTGTAAAAAAACCCAAGTGTAGGCAATGTAAACAAAGAACTCACAGGGTTTTGACAAACTACCGGTAAAATATTCAAGCAAATTATGTTAATTTTTTGTGTGTAAAATAAGACATATTTTCTTTTTATTTTTACATTGCTTGAACTGTGAATCAGTTTAATAAAACCCATTAAATACTAGTTTGAAATGATAATGGCCATATTCCGGTATATCGAACCTACATTTGTCAAGCTCATGTTGATATCATTGCATCTGAAATTTTGTTTATAAGCCTGTACAATTTTTTCTTGAACAAAGTCCGATACTAATTATTTATTATCAATGTCTGATTTTGTTAATGGTATGAATTTTTGTAAAGTGAAATAAAAATTCCAAGTGCTACATACCACAATATGGTGTATCACAATACTCCCATCTTTTGTTTACATCAGTTGTATAGCACCATGGACCATACGGCTCATTATCTGGATTACGACAATAGTTCTTCTGGTCAGACAGTGTCTCACTAAATCTATGTTTTTGAGGGGTTTGAGATGACCAAGCCTGACATAGACGACCTGATTTGGTTTGACTAATATTTCCTCTATAATTGGCTCCTATCAGATTCATTCTACACTTTAGACCTATGAGAAGAAAGACTTTTTTTCACTCAATGCAATTATGATGTTTCAGAGATTGGTACACAAAACGTGAAACATATTCAGTGTTATTTATACTTGACAAACATGCAATGCTGTACTGTTTCATATACTGTAAATTCATTTATTTTCGTGGGTACCCATTATCGTGTATATGTGATTTCATGGTTCTGCCAAAGTCTGCATACCAAACTATGGAAAATGTGTACTTCGTTGTACATTTAAATTTGCGGAAAAAAATCACAATTTCGAATTCCAAATAAAAAAAGTAAGGAAAAGCTGTCAGAGAAGTCAATTGGTGACTTGTTTTCCCTCAACCAATGTGTTCGTTTGTGATACAATCAAACAGCTTTTATGAAAAAATAGTTAACTGTTACCTCGTTAACTACATGATTGTCAGTTGTCTAGGCTGACAATTATGACAACCTTGAGTTACAACTGACACCGTGTCTTTGACAACTGATCATTACATAAGGTTTTCCCAAAATGTCGACAAGTATTGAAATATATCATAGAATAACACATACAACACAATACAACCCAAAGAGTAATTGAAACCACTTCTCTCCTCTCTGTCCTAGAAGTCACTTTCCTCCCCAAAATCCTAGATTTCTGTGGATTCATTTATTTCGTGGGTACAAGTTTTCGTGGATTGAGAGAAATGTGTATTTTCGTGGATATTTGTTTTCATGGTTTTGCCAAAGCCTATAGAAAATTTGTACTTCATTGTACATTTAAATTCGAGGTATACCTTTATCCCAAAAACCCGGAAAATTGCTAACCCATGAATAATGATGAATCAACAGTAGGCCCTTTTTTGTTATATTCTTATAACATTCAGCAGACTTAAAATAAGAAATATATCTCCAAAATATTCATTCATGAGATAAGCTTTATTTTGAAGAATTTCTATCTCATTTTTTAGACAACTATGTTAGCGATTTAATTCAAACAAACAAAATTTTACTGCTGCACATGAGGTAGAATATATGCAATGTAACATTTCTTGTAGAACATGACAATAAACTGTTTACACAGAGATATGTCTCGCCTGTAGGCATAATATTCAGAAAAAAGACCATCTGAAAGACAGCAACATTGCTTATTAGTTCAGTCGATGGAGCATGATCTAGTTGTCAGGGCATGAAAATGGTCGACAAACTGATATGTACTGACAGCAACGTAACTTTATAGAAAATATTGTTGTCTATTGTAAGCAGTTCCTATCAATGTAACTTGGGCAGAAAACTTAACATTGAAAATTGCTAATTAATTCAAAGTCACTGGACCATGTCCTAGGGGCAGGGCATCAAAATAGACGTCAAACTGATATGTACTGATAGTAATGCAACTTTATACAAAACATCATTGATCTATCACAAGTAAATCCTATCAAACTAACTTAAGCAGAAAACTTAACAATGAAAATTGCTAATTAATTCAAAGACACTGGGCCATGACTTAGGGGGCAGGGCCTCAAAATAGTCGTCAAACTGATATGTACTGGTAGTTATGTAACTTTATAGAAAACATCATTGATCTATCACAATATTTCAGGTAAAACTGAGTTAAGCAGAAAACTTAACATCAAACATTGCTTATTAATTGAAAGTGGCTGGTCCAAGACTTAGTGGGCAGGGCCTCGAAATAGTCACCAAACTCATATGTACTGATAGTAATTAATGCAACTTCATACAAAATATCATTGATCTACCACAAGTAGATCATATCAAACTAACCTAAGCAGAACACTTAACACTAAAAATTGCTCATTTATTCAATTGACCATGACCTAGGGGACAGGGTCTCAAAATAGTCGTCAAACTGATATGTACTGGTAGTAAATAAACTCATCATAGATACCAGGATTGAAATTTTGTAATTGCGCCAGACGCGCGTTTCGTCTTCAAAAGACGTATCAGTGACGCTCGAATCAATAAAAGTAAAAAGGCCAAATAAAGTACGAAGTTGAAGAGCATTGAGGACCAAAAATTCCTAAAAATTTTGCCAAATACATCTTAGGTAAACTATTCCTGAGGTAGAAAAGCCTAAGTATTTCAAAAAATTTAAAGTTTTGTAAACAGTTAATATATAATTATGACCATATCAATGATAATTCATGTCAGCACAGAAGTGCTGACTACTGGGCTGTTGATACCCTCGGGGAAAAAAACTCCACTAGCAGTGGCATCGACCCAGTGGTTGTAAATAAACTCATAATAGATACCAGGATTGAAATTTTGTAATTGCGCCAGACGCGCGTTTCGTCTACAAAAGACTCATCAGTGACGCTCAAATAAAAAAAAAAGTTAAAAAGGCCAAATAAAGTACGAAGTTGAAGAGCATTGAGGACCAAAAATTCCGAAAAGTTTTGCCAAATATAGTTAAGGTAATCTATTCCTGAGGTATAAAATCCTTAGTATTTCAAAAATTTAAAGTTTTGTAAACAGTTAATTTATAATTATGACCATATCAATGATAATTCATGTCAACACAGAAGTGCTAACTACTGGGCTAATAAAATAGGTTACAATTTCGGCAATGATGATCCAGCAAAATCATGACCTTCTTCAAGTTTGTCATCTCCTGGGTAAAGATATTACCTATGTTTCTACAAACACAAATAACCAACGATTACAAAGTTTGCATTATGTTCCCAAATGTCTTTAAAACTGATATGCTTATTCAAGAAAAGATATCTAAAGTTTATATTAACATCACAACTGATAAAAAGATATCTAAAAGAATAGAAAAGAAAGGATATGGAATATCCATCCATAAAACAAAATCAGTACATGCACAGCAAAAAAACACAAAAAGCAAAGGAACAGAGCTTTTATTACTGTGCTCTATCCCGAAGTCACAGTGACGCCTTGAAATCGGAGCAAAAACTCTCACCTCCCTGCAAGTTTAAGACGGCCCCTATAAGTTCATGCATCACAACTAATGAAAATAAATCTAAAATTCATGTTAACATTAACTAATGAAAAGATATCTTAATTTCATGTTAACATCACAACTGCCTGATTTGTAGTCAAACAGGTTCTAAACGTGTTAACGTGAAAAAAAGGAGAAGTTGGGTATACACCAATGAGACAGGAACCAGTCACAACAACAAAAAAACTCAAAACATCTTGAGGTCAATATACATGTAAGGTCTTCAGTAAGAGATAAATGTGTATAAGATATTCCAAGCTGTTTATTGCTTTGAGTTCAGAAACAAACTAAGTGGAAATGTTTTTTGTGGACAAAAACGAATGTTACCCTTCACTCCCATAAAAAAAAGGTACAACAGACACACTAATTCTAGTACTGTAATTAGAAATTTTATTGTTTATAGGTTAGGTTTCTAACTGCTTTGAATTATTTTTAAAACTATCTATGATATGACCCTCCTGACAACAACATCTATGTTACACTAGAAAGGTCGCTCACAAACATGTTTAACCCAGCAACATTCTTTATGTACCTGTCACAAGTCAGGAGCCCGTAGTTCAGTGGTTGTCGTTGGTTCATGTCTGTCATATTGCTTCTTCGTAAATTGTTTTGTTATGAATTAGGCCCTTTGTTTTCTCATTTGAAATGTTTCATACTATAATTGCTTACATCAACTTCATTTGAACTTTGGTAAATAGTTGTCTCTTTGGCAATCATACCACATCTTCTTATTTTTATATTGTCATGATAATTTAGAAAATATATGGTTAAGACATTGTGTGAAAGCTTAAATTTGAAAGTGTTATAGCAACAAATTGAAAAAAAATGTCTACTATACCTATAAATTGACTTGACAACTGATACGAAACGATAGTAAGCTGAACACAAACGACAAAAAAAATGAAGTGGAATTTAAATTTAATGGGATGTTTTCGACACTGGCATGAATTTATATATCCTTTTTCGAAATATGCCTTTACGTCTTCAATCTGGGACTAAAAGAAGAGATATATTATCCCAATTCAAACCCAATGAATTCAGCGTTTGTTTTTATTTGAACTTTGTATATATACAGCTAATACAAACTTTATGATTTCCATGTTAAACATTTTAGTTTTTAATGTCTCTGTTTTGTAGATGCTGCATAGAATATGATGTTATTTGTAGATGCTGCAGAAAATATGATGTTGTTTTTAGATGCATAGAATGTTATAGTTTTTCTTAAGATACTGCATAGAATATGATGTGAGTACTTATTTGCGATAAGTTTCTATTTGGAACCCCTCCACATCCTTTTCTTCTAAAACTTTTAAGGTTAATTTTATGAAAGAATGTTATACAGATAAAACCTAACCTGCTTTTGTTGTAGCTGTAGTGGTGATTGGCGGTGCAACTGCCTCATCTGAAAACAAAGAAGAAGAAATAGAATACAATGTTAATGAGGTCAAATGTGTTTTAAACTGTTTATTGTCATAAAAATCGCCCAAAGAATTTATCCACCTATAAATATCTTTGTTTTTACCAGAAACGTAATATCGGCTTCTTTTATTCTTTTATCTATTTTAAAGGAGTAGGGGCTGTGTGGGCCTTATGTGGACCCCAATATCAAGTCCTCATTTTTCAAAATGCAAAGTGTTTCAATTTCATGAATAAACATGCAAGAAGTGAAATAAAACAATTTTGTTATTATTTCCTCTCAAACACCAAATTGGCCAAAAACAGTAAATTTGGTGGAAAAAAACCCAAGTTTAGGCAATGTAAACAAAGAACTCACAGGGTTTTGACAAACTACCGGTAAAATATTCAAGCAAATTATGTTAATTTTTTGTGTGTAAAATAAGACATATTTTCTTTTTTTTTTTACATTGCTTGAACTGTGAATCAGTTTAATAAAACCCATTAAATACTAGTTTGAAATGATAATGGCCATATTCCGGTATATCGAACCTACATTTGTCAAGCTCATGTTGATATCATTGCATCTGAAATTTTGTTTATAAGCCTGTACAATTTTTTCTTGAACAAAGTCCGATACTAATTATTTATTATCAATGTCTGATTTTGTTAATGGTATGAATTTTTGTAAAGTGAAATAAAAATTCCAAGTGCTACATACCACAATATGGTGTATCACAATACTCCCATCTTTTGTTTACATCAGTTGTATAGCACCATGGACCATACGGCTCATTATCTGGATTACGACAATAGTTCTTCTGGTCAGACAGTGTCTCACTAAATCTATGTTTTTGAGGGGTTTGAGATGACCAAGCCTGACATAGACGACCTGATTTGGTTTGACTAATATTTCCTCTATAATTGGCTCCTATCAGATTCATTCTACACTTTAGACCTATGAGAAGAAAGACTTTTTTTCACTCAATGCAATTATGATGTTTCAGAGATTGGTAAACAAAACGTGAAACATATTCAGTGTTATTTATACTTAACAAACATGCAATGCTGTACTGTTTCATATACTGTAAATTCATTTATTTTCGTGGGTACCCATTATCGTGTATATGTGATTTCATGGTTCTGCCAAAGTCTGCATACCAAACTATGAAAAATGTGTACTTCGTTGTACATTTAAATTTGCGGAAAAAATCACAATTTCGAATTCCAAATAAAAAAAGTAAGGAAAAGCTGTCAGATAAGTCAATTGGTGACTTGTTTTCCCTCAACCAATGTGTTCGTTTGTGATACAATCAAACAGCTTTTATGAAAAAATAGTTAACTGTTACCTCGTTAACAACATGATTGTCAGTTGTCTAGGCTGACAATTATGACAACCTTGAGTTACAACTGACACCGTGTCTTTGACAACTGATCCTTTCATAAGGTTTTCCCAAAATGTCGACAAGTATTGAAATATATCATAGAATAACACATACAACACAATACAACCCAAAGAGTAATTGAAACCACTTCTCTCCTCTCTGTCCTAGAAGTCACTTTCCTCCCCAAAATCCTAGATTTCTGTGGATTCATTTATTTCGTGGGTACAAGTTTTCGTGGATTGAGAGAAATGTGTATTTTCGTGGATATTTGATTTCATGGTTTTGCCAAAGCCTATAGAAAATTTGTACTTCATTGTACATTTAAATTCGAGGTATACCTTTATCCCAAAAACCCGGAAAATTGCTAACCCATGAATAATGATGAATCAACAGTAGGCCCTTTTTTGTTATATTCTTATAACATTCAGCAGACTTAAAATAAGAAATATATCTCCAAAATATTCATTCATGAGATTAGCTTTATTTTGAAGAATTTCTATCTCATTTTTTGGACAACTATGTTAGCGATTTAATTCAAACAAACAAAATTTTACTGCTGCACATGAGGTAGAATATATGCAATGTAACATTTCTTGTAGAACATGACAATAAACTGTTTACACAGAGATATGTCTCGCCTGTCGGCATAATATTCAGAAAAAAGACCATCTGAAAGACAGCAACATTGCTTATTAGTTCAGTCGCTGGAGCATGATCTAGTTGTCAGGGCATGAAAATAGTCGACAAACTGATATGTACTGACAGCAACGTAACTTTATAGAAAATATTGTTGTCTATTGTAAGCAGTTCCTATCAATGTAACTTGGGCAGAAAACTTAACATTGAAAATTGCTAATTAATTCAAAGTCACTGGACCATGTCCTAGGGGCAGGGCATCAAAATAGACGTCAAACTGATATGTACTGATAGTAATGCAACTTTATACAAAACATCATTGATCTATCACAAGTAAATCCTATCAAACTAACTTAAGCAGAAAACTTAACAATGAAAATTGCTAATTAATTCAAAGACACTGGGCCATGACTTAGGGGGCAGGGCCTCAAAATAGTCGTCAAACTGATATGAACTGGTAGTAATGTAACTTTATAGAAAACATCATTGATCTATCACAATATTTCAGGTAAAACTGAGTTAAGCAGAAAACTTAACATCAAACATTGCTTATTAATTGAAAGTGGCTGGTCCAAGACTTAGTGGGCAGGGCCTCGAAATAGTCACCAAACTCATATGTTCTGATAGTAATTAATGCAACTTCATACAAAATATCATTGATCTACCACAAGTAGATCATATCAAACTAACTTAAGCAGAACACTTAACACTAAAAATTGCTCATTTATTCAATTGACCATGACCTAGGGGACAGGGTCTCAAAATAGTCGTCAAACTGATATGTACTGGTAGTAAATAAACTCATCATAGATACCAGGATTGAAATTTTGTAATTGCGCCAGACGCGCGTTTCGTCTTCAAAAGACGTATCAGTGACGCTCGAATCAATAAAAGTAAAAAGGCCAAATAAAGTACGAAGTTGAAGAGCATTGAGGACCAAAAATTCCTAAAAATTTTGCCAAATACATCTTAGGTAAACTATTCCTGAGGTAGAAAAGCCTAAGTATTTCAAAAAATTTAAAGTTTTGTAAACAGTTAATATATAATTATGACCATATCAATGATAATTCATGTCAGCACAGAAGTGCTGACTACTGGGCTGTTGATACCCTCGGGGAAAAAAACTCCACTAGCAGTGGCATCGACCCAGTGGTTGTAAATAAACTCATAATAGATACCAGGATTGAAATTTTGTAATTGCGCCAGACGCGCGTTTCGTCTACAAAAGACTCATCAGTGACGCTCAAATAAAAAAAAAAGTTAAAAAGGCAAAATAAAGTACGAAGTTGAAGAGCATTGAGGACCAAAAATTCCGAAAAGTTTTGCCAAATATAGTTAAGGTAATCTATTCCTGAGGTATAAAATCCTTAGTATTTCAAAAATTTAAAGTTTTGTAAACAGTTAATTTATAATTATGACCATATCAATGATAATTCATGTCAACACAGAAGTGCTAACTACTGGGCTGGTGATACCCTCGGGGAATAAAAACTCCACCAGCAGTGGCATCGACCCAGTGGTTGTAAATAAACTCATCATAGATACCAGGATTGCAATTTTGTAATTGCGCCAGACGCGCGTTTCGTCTACAAAAGACTCATCAGTGACGCTCGATTCAAAAAAAGTTAAAAAGGCCAAATAAAGTACGAAGTTGAAGAGCAATGAGGACCAAAAATTCATAAAATTTTTGCCAAATACAGCTAATGTAATTTATTCCTGAGGTAGAAAAGCATTAGTATTTCAACAATTTAAAGTTTTGTAAACAGTTAATTTATAATTATGACCATATCAATGATAATTCATGTCAACACAGAAGTGCTGACTACTGGGCTGGTGATACCATCGGAGAATAAAAACTCCACCAGCAGTGGCATCGACCGAGTGGTTGTAAATAAACTCATCATAGATACCAGGATTGAAATTGTGTAATTGCGCCAGACGCACGTAATGCATTTTTATAGAAAATATCATTGATCTATCACAAGAATTTCCTGTCAAACTGACTTAAGCAGAAAATTTAACATTAAAAATTGCTTATTCATTGAAAGTGGCTGGACCATGACTTAGGGGGCATGGCCTCGAAATAGTCACCAAACTGATATGAACTGATAGTAATTTAACTTCATACAAAAAATCATTGATCTACCACAAGTAGATCGTATCAAACTAACTTAGCAGAAAACTTAACATTGAAAATTGCTAATCAATTCAAAGTCAATGGACCATGTTCTAGGGGGGACAGGGCCTCACAATAGTTGTCAAACTGAAAATTAATGATAGTAATATGACCTCGTACAAAATATCATTGATCTTTGACAAGAAGATCCTATCAAACTAACTTAAGCAGAAAACTTTACATTGAAAATTGCTAATTCATTTAAAGTCACTGGACCATGTCCTAGAAGGCAGTGCCTCAAAATAGTCCTTAAACTGAAATGTACTGATAGTAATGCAACTTTATACAAAATATCATTGATCTGTCACAAGTAGATACAATCAAACTAACTTAAGCAGAAAACTTAACAACTGTTGACGCCGTCATCATCGTCGTAGTTGCCGTCGCCGTAGCCGTAGCCGGAAAAGCAATTCATATGTCTCGCTTTCCGCAACTTTCGTCGCAGGCGAAACAAACATTAAGAGTGCAATTTTCCTGTGCATTGAAAAAGTGCAATATCACTTCAAAATGCCAATGTTTACACCAGTCTAATATTGTGTGAAAATATTGCCAAACAGTAAAAGGGTAATTGCTAGAAATATTGATAAATATTATCCCTTGTAGATGCAAATTAAATACTTCTGCACTTTCAAGCTCTACTATGCAATCTTTTGATATGCTGTAAACAATTGTATATAAGCAAATTCATATATATTATAAACTAGGTGGAACGGTTTTTGTGGACCTAATGTCTCCCCTTCTTCTATAGGAGTCACTTCAGAAAAAAAAAATGCACGACAAACACATTGTAGTACTGTAAAGGTATTGTCATAACGATTAACAATATATATGGCCTCATTGGCAATCATACCAGATCTTCTTTTCTTTATATTACTGGGGTTGAAACTTCATTGTTTTCAACATTTGTAACAATTTGTGATATGAGGGTGTGGGGTCATGACCACCAGTCCCTAGTCATGGATTGTTTTTATGGTGCACGAAAAAGGTATTAACATGGTAATTCAGAACACATATGGTTTAGGTTGGTATTTACAAACTTTTTAATACATTTAACAATTTACAGTAAAGGAGAGTGGGGCATGACCCCAAGGTCAACACATATGGTGCACTGTAAAGATGTGGTCATGACAATTAATATTTACTAGTAGTTGAGAGGTTGAGGATCTGAACAGTTTTGAAGATATTCAACATTTTATATGAGTTGGGCATGGTATATTCTCCTCGAAGCACAAGAAAGGTCTGATTGTGGCAATCAAGTATTAAAATATGGATTATATATTGGTATCTGAACCATTTTTAAGATATTTAACAATTTATTATATGAAGGAGTTTGAACATGAAACCCAGGGCCAAACCCTTAGATGCACTGAAAAGGTCATGTCATGGCAAACAAAATACGTGGTTTTCATGGTTTGGAATGATTATGACAAAAAAATATCTTAAATTTCTGTAATTTTGATATCAGAGCTTCACTAAGGTAGTATACAAACCTGTTTGACCACTACAAATAAATGGTCTTTCATAATTCTGACAATTGATATCATTCCATGTCCCATCTGGTCTCATTTCCACACATTCCTCTTCCGTACTACGCCGTGATGCTGAAGGCTCCCCACTGTTCCAGTTTTCAAATGTCTTTTGAAATGATTCTACCCAAGACCAAGCTAAAAATATTAATGATGCAAATTATAAGACGACATATGAAAACAGATATATCAACTATCAACATACTTCAGGTAAAAAATATCATTACTTTCGGTAGTCACTTTTTTAAAAAGTCTGAGTACAGATTTTAAGATAAAATTGAGAATGGAAATGGGGAATGTGTCAAAGAGACAACAACCCGACCATAGAACAGACAACAGCAGAAGGTCACCAACAGGTCTTCAATTTTAAGAGAATGCAAATATCAATTATGGTTAGAGTATATAATGCTATTGTGATGTCATCAAAATGATATCATACATTTTAGTGAAAATAATCACAGTTCCTTGCAAAACATAGAGCTATTTCCTAGAACGTTATAAAATTCTTAAATTGTATACAGAAGAAGTGTCGCTCAAATTAAGATTTACCCAACAAAGTATGAATAAAACACATCCTTGTATGTTCTTTTATTTTCCATTTATTAGTCTATTGATAAGAGTTTAAAGGGGTAGCATAGACATATATCAAATCTTTTTGTTAAACATGCTACATATCTATTTGCCATCAGTGGTTGTTTAATGTCAAACAGTACATTTTAAGGAATTTCATAACTTCAACTTATACTGTTGCAAATTGGAGAACATAGTGATACATTTTTCACTTTCTGCCCAAAATTATACTCTCTCTTTTGTTGACTAACAAACTTGACATAGACTTACAATAAGAATATCTATTCAGTTTGCTTAATCCAATCCAAACTTTCAGTCTGCTTCCAGCCAGTTTTTGGATCAAGTTAATCAAATAATCTATTTGATCAAGGCTTTGTATGCTAGTCAATGTTAAACCTTTTTTATCACATTCTTTCTTTGCTTTGATCCATGTCAATGGATTATGTAGAATTGGATAATAGCATTTGTCACCAAATACATAACCACCTTTCTGGCAAGTGTTCTGATCTGCTTCTTTTGGTAGTGATTCTGAATAGAAAAAAAAAAACACTTTTTTCCCTATTTTGTCATTTAAATTCATTTATCCTGCAATGTTCTTAGACAAAACATAAAGAATTAGCTTTGGGATGTTGGGAAATATTCACAGTATTCGTATTTAAGAACTAGGAAACTTACCCTTCTTAAATATTTCAGTGACCATTTATGCGAATGCACAAGGCCAAAATATGAAGTTGTATCTTGCCCTTCAAATCCAGATGTGAGAAATAACACCTACTTAAAGACATAAAAGGATTATTGGACTTACAGGCTGGAATAATAAAACATTTCAGGGATCATTTAAGCGTACAGTACAAGGCCGAAATATGAAAATGTATCTTGCCGTTCAAATCCAGATGTGAGAAATAACACCTACTTAAAGACATAAGAGGTTTACATGACTTATAGGCTGGAATAATTAAACATTTTTTTTTAAACAGTGAAATAAAGTTAATTCAGGTAAAATGACCCTGGACATCTATGAAACCTTAATATAATAAATATTTGAAAAGAAAGAAAATGCCAAATAAAGTCTTATTTTCCACAGCACATCTATAAAATATAACATGATTATGTTTTTTAAGTTAAACTTGTCAAACGTACATGCTTTCTGTCGATTGGGAATTTCTAAAGTTGGTGTTATATTTTTAGTTATTTCTACTGATTTTATTAACCATGAAAGAATTGAAACAAATTAAAGCCTGCCTTGTATTGAAGACATTGAACTCTGCTGTCTGTTTTGATAATTGTTTGTTGATTTGGAAGACATCTGCCGATATAAAGCTAATATTTCTTTTAATTCAAATCAAAACATAATTTTCTAATATTATTAATACATACGTTAACTTTGTATTTTGTGCTTACACTGACCAATTTGCACTGACTTACTTACTTTTATTGATCTGACATAAAGCTGGAAGTTTGGTATCACAATCTTTATCTGTCCAAAAATCTTCTCCGACAGCTATACAAGGCTTACTTGGCAAATAATCTGAATTCCAATCAGTGTACATTACAGGCCAACCATTACTCCATTTATAAGTTATACCATCCTGAAAATGAATTGGAATTATAGTTACGTTTATTCAATCAACAAAAAATAATGCACTGAAAATAACATAGATTTACAAACTACTATAGATTCTTTTAATCTTTTAAGTGTGACAAAAGACAGATGGAAAATAAAACTAAACACCAGCTCCCTTATAAGCAAAGATACTGTAAATTCAGAAATTTATTTTAATATTGGTATTTCGCTACGTGAAAGATTTAGCAAAAAACAAAAAAAAAATCGTTCTAAATTTTCATAGCATTATTTGTTTGAACCATTTCTTGAAATCTCGAATAATACATTTTCATTTTTGTTAAAAAATCACAATTACAAATGCACAAACAAATTTCTGAATTAACAGTAGTTACTTGTTAAATTTTGATGCGAAAGTTCATAAAAAAAAAAAACCAAACATCATTTTTAGCCTGTCCAAAATTAATATTTCACTATTATTGATTTGAGCATACAAAACATTCATCCAATTTACTTTATAACTAACCTTAGAATTCATATTGTTGAGGCCGATCCAAAATGGTAATGATGACTTGTTATACGTGAGATAACTAACAAAACTTTTCTCTTGAAAATTGAGTATAGATGCTAAGCTGCCTCCGTCTTCTTGACATCTTGACAACGAAGTATTCCAATCATTAGTTGCTTCAAATAATTTATAACACATTTGATCATATTTTTTATATCCTAGTGGACAGTACACAGATTCAGAAGTATCTATAGGGAGAAATGGATCTGCAATAGAAATTACAAGAGATTCATGTCTTCAGAATGTCTTGGAAATCACGTTTATGCTAAAATTCTATTCTAATAAAAATGGTCTAAAAGTCTATTCTGCTTAGAATATTTTGCCTGAATTCTATTCAGTTTAGAATATTTTGTCTAATATTCTCCTCTTAGATTTTTTAAAATCACTAAATTATTAGCAAAATTTAATTGGAAATATTCCTGAATTCCAATGGCAGTTCTCCTGGAAATTTACTTATATCATGTGGTTTTAAGTATTTTGCAAAATTTAAAGGCTCTATATATATTCTTTGTTTTTCTATTATATTAAAGGAGTTTGTCTCTCGTGCTGTGTGGACGCCGTAGAAAGTGTTCCCGTGCTTGAGGTGTATGCTCTTTTGTATTTTTAATGTTATTGTGTATTTATTCTCTTATGTGTGCCACATCATTCTCTCAATATTAGGCTAGTTTGTGAATTAAAATTTAAGTAGACGCACACCACTTATTCTAGGCAATCATTCCTATCGACGTTAACTTTTTCACTTCTAAACATTTATGGGGGTCCGGGATCAATATACCGTTATTTACACATCATACCGTACTGGTTACCGGAACTTTGGATACACCAAACCAGGTACTTCATATCTGAGAAACAGGCAGTATATGCCCTCAATTTTAGATTTCATTCATTCATTTTTGTATTATTCAAAATCATCAGTCAGTATGTTTTTTACAAGGATCACAAGTCCTTCACCTTTCATTTGATACACCAATTACTAAAATAAATTCTACAAAGTTTGATATTTACACCTATGCGTAGAAACTAGTTTGTTTTAAATATGTACTACTTTCCAGTATGTTCTTTTCTGACCTGGCCCTATTTGGTGGTGTTACATCTTACAAAGTCTATCCGAATCATTTTGCAAAGAATTCCGGGCAAGCCGGTGCTAGGGGCCGTCTTAAACTTGCATGATATGAGGATTTTTTTTTTGCTTCGTGTGAATGGCATTACTGTGACTTTCAGATGACGAACAGCAATAAAAGCGCTGTGATTTGTTTTTTGTGTGTATTTTGCTGTGCATCTACAGATTTTCTGTCATGGATGGATACCCCATTTCCTTTGTTTTTCTATTATGGTCACATCAAACTAAATTTTTTATTCATTAATAAATAATTTTGTTGATATATTTCCCAGGGACATCACTTTTTGTTGGTAGTAGACATCAAAAGAAAAAAAACTTAACCTGTTTAGTGCCAGAGAAGATGGATATATGAATAAATAGTTTCAATACTATGTGTTCGTCCTATTTCACTGCAGGGCCTCGTTGTCCGAGTGGTCATAGAAGTTCATCATCTGCATCGCTAGCATGTCTACACTAAATAGTTTGAACCGTGCACGTGGCAGGTGCATTCGACTACCAATCTTTATAGACTACGATTGCCAGTTTTCCTGGCGAAGGCCAGTGGTTCTCACTGGGCATCCCGGCTTCTTACACCAACGAAAATAGGATTGCCAGTTTTCCTGGCGAACGTCAGTGGTGTGTTTGAGCTTTTGACTTTGCCAATTGTTAAGGGACTTCCGTTTTGAATTTTCCTTGGAGTTCGGTATTTTTGTTGTTTTACTTTTTACATGTATCATGTATGTTATATTTTCCATCTGAAATCAAAATTTCATCAATCAATCATGAATCCACCAAGGATTCCGGCAATCCTAAATAAAAACGAAAGTGACTATCACTGCAAACTGATACTCCCTCATCTGCACAGTTATTGAGTGAAAACAATTTTATTGCAAGAGTTAAAAATACTAGTTTGTTTTGAGGATCGAATACACATGGAGTATTATTGACAAAATTTTATCTGTATACATGTGTTATAATTTATAGTGGGATACCATTTGACTTACAAAAATGTCTGTATTTAGTAATAGTGACCTTTACCTATGACCTGTTGACCCAAAAAACTTCCTCTTTTCTATAACTTCCATATATATAAGGTTCATTGGAATCAGGAAAGGGAAAATCAAGCTATCATTCAGAAACCATCGGTACATTTTGTTCTATTTTTAGTAGCAGTAACCTTTGACTTTTACCTTAAACAAAAATAGGTTTTTTGTGCTAATATTATCCATCTTTATATGTTTTATTCCAATCAAGCAAGGAAATTCATGCTACAAGCCAGAAACCTTTTACCAAACAAATCTGTCTTAATAACAGTGATTTTGACCGTTGAACTTAAGATCGATAGACTCCTTTTCCTTCACTATATCTTCCATCTGTATGTTTCATTCTAATCAGGCAAATGATAATTGAGTAACCATCCGCAAACCACGTGTTTATGCTCAAGAATTTTTTTAAAGAGCACAACAAATATGGAACATCAATATTCTCTGTTATATCAGTAAAAATAAAATACAGCTGACAAATTAAAAAAAAATGACATTATATTAATTTAACAAAAGAACTATTAATACTTTGTCTGAAGCAAAACTTACTCTGTAACCCCTGACAGATAAAATACAAAGTTGAACTGCATCTCTCTTTTTTCCATTGTCCAAAGTTCTCGTTGTTCACAAAAATATCAACACAATCGCCCTATACAAAAGTAAACAAATATATCAACACAAACCTAAACAAAAGTCAACAAATATATCAACACAATGCTCCTTTACAATAATCAATAAATATATCAGCACAATGATCCTATACCATAGTCAATAAATATATCAACACAATGATCCTTCACCATATTCAATAAATATTTCAACTCAATGATCCTTTAAATAGCTAAATAAAGTAAATAAATATATCAACACAATGATCCTTTACAATAGACAAACAAATATATCAACGCAAGGCTCCTATACAAAAGTCAACTCTTCAGATTCTTTAAACAAAAGACAACAAATATATCAACACTTCAGATTCTTTAAACAAAAGACAACAAATATATCAACACACCGTTCCTACATAAAAGTCAACAAATATATGAACATACATGTACTATTCCTATACGGAAGTCAACAAAAAGATCAACCCAAGGATCCTATACAAAAATTGACAAATACAATGCTCCTATACAGAAGTCAACAAATATATGAAACCACTGTAAAAATATCAACACAATACTCCTTAACAAAAGTCAACAAATATATTCTCCTTTAAAATAGACAAAAGAATACATCAACACAATGCTCCTGAAGTGAAGTCATTAAATATATCAACACAGTGATCCTGTACAGAAGTCATCAAATATATCAACACAATGCACCTGTACAGAAGTCATCAAATATATCAACGCAATGCTCCTGTACAAAAGTCATCATATATATCAACACAATGCTCCTGTACAGAAGTCATAAAAAAAACAACACAATGCTCCTTCACATAGGTCAAGAAATAAATCGACACAATGCTCCTTAAAGATGTAAACCTCTGAGGAGCCAAACATTTCTAGAATTAAACTTTTTTTCTAAACCTTATTTTTGGGTTTATATGACTAAGAAAATAATTGATGAAGAAAAAAATCATAAGGTGCTGCACTTATTTTTTTTTGCTACGGCCATTTGAAAGTACCCCATTTTTATTATTTCCAATTTTTAATCAATTTTTACCCATTTTTGGGCTATTACCATGAAAAAAATCACAGTTTTACCATTTAACTTTTTTTCATACTTCACTGTGGACTATTTTGAATAAATTTAACTTAAAAAATCTATAGGTAGGTATTAATATAAGAAAGTTTTATAAAATTTTGTTGCTTCTTGATGTCAAGTTGATCATGCTGTAAATTTTGTAAATTTGGGATTTTTCTCTTCTTTTTTTTCAAACAAAAAGCATATTATATCAATTTCTTTGTTATGAATGATTAAAAAAATACATATCTAAGAATTTTGAAAAGAAAAAAATGATATGGGATGTACATATTTTTGGTAAAATCATTTCTTTGTACACTTCACCCGTTTTCTCAACATTTTGGCTGATGACACTGACTGGATTGCTCATAAAAATTGAAAATTTCATTACTCAAAAACTACTTGTAAGTACATAATTTTTTCACCTAGTTTAGTTTGATTATAATACTTTTTAAATTCAAAGATATTTTCCACTTGTATCATATGTTTTGGAAATAATTCACGAACGAGATTTTAACGAGACTGAAACATCAGAAGAATGCATCCTTAACAAAGGTCAATAAGTATATCAACACAATGCTCCTATTTTAATAGTCAACAAAAAAATATGAACATAAAGCTCGTATACTTAAGTCAGCACTTATAGAAATGCTGATTCTATATAAAAAAAGACAACAAATGTTTTAACACACTGTTCCTATACGGAAGTCAACAATGTTATCATCATTCAAATGCCAACAAATTTATCACCACAATGTTCTGATAAAGAAGTCAACAAATACATCACAAAAATGTTCTTCAAGAAAAGTAAACAAATATATCACTAATATATAATAGTCAACAAAAACTCGCCACAATGTTCTTGTATAAATGTTTACTTATATATCACCAAAAGTTCCTATAAAAAGACAGCAAATAAATTAGCCAACACATAAACAAGAAATGAGCTGCCAAATTGACAGCAAACTAGGTTTTCTATAATTTGAAAGGCGCTTTCAGGCTTTTTGACCTGTCACATTCTATGCCTATTTTCAATCAATCAAGGACCATAAATCCTGAACGGCAAAAAAATAATCGTAATTATCCAACTTGACCACCATTTAGTCATCAGTAACAGCATGTTAAAGCATAATTGCACGAAAAGGACATAAAGTGCCTATTTTCCAAATGATCAAGGACCATAGCTCCTGAGCGGGTAAAGTGAAAATCGTCAATTTTGAACTTAACCTCCATTTTGTCATCAGTAACAACATATTATAATTTGAAACCAAATTTGTATATCTCCAATGTCTAAAATGCTACATTTTCCCTCTGAAAAACGGCAAATTTCGAAATTCTTCCTGAACGGGAAGGTCGATAATTTGCTATCAATCGAATCATTTACAGCTATCAAAACATAATTTTGACACTACTCTTATTGGAAGACAACAAATCGTTAATTATCTCGTTAATTGTTGCATACAAGTGTTGAGCTTGACATACAATGTAATATCCTGATTTATTTATTTTGTCGTTTGCAAATATCAGCTATCCGATTAAAATCATTTTAAAACAATTTGAACCTCTTAACACATATCTGTTGGAGAGATACAAGTCGCTTAACTATTTTGAATCATTTAATGTTGTCATCACTTAAATTCCATGTGCTCTATAAATTTCGCAGAATGTAAACCACAGTAAATTATCCTTTCTCTTTATCTTCCTCCTGTGTATTGGAGCTTATAAGCTATAAATGACTCATCATAGATACCAGGAGTTAACTGATTTCTTTTAATAGTTAGGGTTTATAAAATTCATTGATAAAAAATAGTGTGAATGAAACAATTAGAGGGCATTGCTTTATATTGATGTTTGAAGAAAAGTTAATATTTAACAGATACAATGAAGTTAAAATTAAAACATAAATTAACTTTTAAAAAATTTTCAGCAAATACTTCACAGTTGTTATTATTTAAATTAAATTTGTATATGTTATAGAATATATAAAACCTCTAAATACTAATATTCAACCACATAAAAGCGTGTACGCGTTATGACCTGACATTTTTCAGAGGTTGACAGGTATGACTATGCACTATATGTTTCATGTACTAGAAGCAAAGTTTTCATTGTATTCGTTGGAAAATTGAAAATGATTTTACTTCTTAAATGTCACGTCATAAAACATGCAAAACGAACCCTTGTACGCAAATTTTCAAAAAAGACATATTTTCTCTCTTCATGATCTTGTCATTTGTTTAACTATGATTTATTAAATGTGATAATAGCCATCAGATATTTATTTGAAACTTTAGATAAAAACCAAGAACCATATTGTGGCCTTATCGAACCTACTGTAAATTCAGATATTATTGTGTGCATTTATTATGGCAATTTTAAGGAATGGACACACATGCCAGAATAACTATTGCGATTATATTATTCTTATTATTGCGATACTCAACCAGTCGTATTATTCGCAATAATGAAAACATCGCAACAACTTATGATTTTATAATACTTCTTTATTCACGTAAGGAGCAGATTTAGCAGGGTGGGGCACTGGGGTATACGTGCCTGTGTTGATTGACTGGGGCACTTAGTAAGATATTAACCCAATTTATATAATCATCAATAATGTAGAAAAGCATTTATCATAAACGGACAACTCAGACATATTTGAACTTAAAGAAATTATATAAATTCATTTCCCTATCAGATTGGTGACCTTATTAATTCTCAACTAAGTGTAACGTTACAAAACAAAAAAAAAAGTATATATAAGATATCCTTTCATTTTAATTTCTTTTAACAATTTACCGATTCTGACCAATGAGACACGATAGGCTTACAATTGCATACACTAAATACTTTCCAAGGTGGATTATATTGCCCAATACTAGAGAGAATAAAGATTTTAATATTTAACCTCAAAATAATAATGCATCATTTTTTTATTCTTCAATAATATATTCATTTGATCATTTATATAATACCATTTTCTTTTCCTCGATTGTGACTCTCCAGGATGAGACTTATCACCGAGTATGAATTATCCATGAGCAACTGGACAGGAGCCAAATGTGCAGCGGGATAAACTTACCATTCTTTGCTCAATGAATTAGCAGTTATCGCACCGATATATTTGTGAAGTTTGTGTTACTAAGCCTTTGGTTTTCTGTTTCTGTTTCTTTTCTTTTTTTTTTGCCATGGTTATTTCAAATTTATTTTCGACATATGATTTTTTACTATCCTTTTTATAACTTATCTCTCATTTTTATTAGGTTCCAAGACGTGTGAATAAGTTGTGATACAGTGAAAATGTCCTGATTAATTGTTATTTGTTTCATGTCTAGTGGCAACTATATTATAAATTTTCAGGTAACAAATTCCAAATAAATCTTTTGGGTGGACATGAAAAGTCACTTGTAAGACAAGGATGAGAGACCGGAAATATGTACCAGCACTGGAAAATGCAAACATGTTGAATAGAGGCAAATAGTTGCAATCGGCCAAGAAGGGAACCATGAAGTGTTGTTAAAAGGGTATCTTAACTTGCAGATACACACTTTCCTCATATAAGGCTTCAGATTTACAATCACAATTTGAACTGGACATATCTTGAGCTGTCTTTTGTGTTTTTAAGTTGCAGTTTCATTAATGCATACCCTACATATTCTTCTGTAACTACAATTCTTCAACATTTTTTAATCATTATTATATCAGTAATCTAAATATGAACATTTTTCTCTTTAAGGCGACATATTCTTATATCACACCAGTAGTTGTTCATTCTGTACCAATAAATTCCCATACCACACTAGAACATTATTTCTGTTTCATATCCATATATTAGCTTTCACAATAGACCATTTTCATTTCGTAACAACAGATCTAATTCTAAACTAGTTTTCTTCATTTCATAGCAATACATTCACATTCCACACTAGACGTTTTTATTTCATTCCATATATCAATAGGTTACTTTTTCACACTAACAGATTCCCATTCCACACTAGAATTTTTTTTCATTTTATACCAACAGGTTGGCATTTCACACTAAGTATTTTTTTATTATGTCATACAAATACATTCCCATTCTACACTAGAACATTTTTACTACATACAAAAAGGTTACTATTCCATACTAGAATTTCATACAAATAGATTCTTATTCCACACTTAAAGTTTTTCCACATTTCATATTAAAATTTTTTTACATTTTACTTACATTATTTCTATCAGATTCTAAAGAGTTCCAATTAGTGTATGACACTTCTGAACCATCATCCCAAGTATACTTAACGTAGGGATGTCGATCTGTCAGTCCTATCCAGACCATCTCAAGGCTGTCATACAACATACTGCTTATAAACACTACAAACATATATTACACTGATGCAAGGTCGTATAAAATCTATTCTATGGCATACTGTTTTTACAGAAAAAATCATAAGATCACATGAAATTAAACCAATCACACACCATGTACAACAAATTACAGAATCACCATTGAAGCAAAAGTAGAGCTGAGTTCTTACTAGATTTACCTTGTTTATCAAGTTTTTTTTTCTTCAGAAAACAAAATCCCACATTGTTATAGTACTTATATTAGTTATAATTGCATCTTGGTTCAAAAGATATTATCCAAAAAATTAAATTTTACACATGTTTCTGCCCTTTGTTGCTGCTGTAACCTTGACCATTGCTCTGATGACCTCGAAATCAAGATTGATTGGTGCTTGCTAAACGTCCGAGAAAGGGTCTTTATCTCCCTCAAGTGCAATATAATTGGCTAAAGAGATGCTTTCTGGAAGCATTATTTACCAAATGTCAGTCTATTTAAAAGCTATATGATCTCAATTTTTGACCTACTTACCCAAACATAAATAGGATCTTGTTTTTTCAAGGATCGTTTTCAAGTTTGATGAAGGTTGGATATATTGTAAAAAATATGACCGTTAAATAATTTTTCTCTCCAAATTTCTGCCATGACCTGAACTTTAAACCGAGTGTCCTCAAAACATTATCAGAACAAGTATACCAAAGATATATTGTATGGTGCAAGAAATACTGTTGCAAGAAATACTGTTGGGAAATCCAAAAATGTCAGTCTATTTATAGACACTGTCCTAGGACATTTGACCTACCGATTTTGACATTGCTGCAACGTAGCTAAAAATATTACATGAAAATGATATTGATTATGTTGAGACTTACTTTGTTCTAATTTGCTCTGTATAGTGACCAAACTATAAGTCTTTCCATGAGCTTCACAAGTTGCTTTTGCTTGGCTCCAAGTTTTCTGTGTTTTAAAAAATCCATAACACTTACTATCTGAAAAGATATGAACAAAATGACAAAGAAAACATTCAGTGCAATTGAAAACAATTGGTTTATTATGCTTTTAAATTTCAACCAGTATGAAAAGCTCTAGAGAATAATCAGCCATATATTTGCAATCGCAGCCCAGTCAAACATCTGTCTGACAAAATAAAAGAATTTACCCCAAAAGAGTAAATTTGGGTCTATAATATCATGATTTCAAAAAAATTAACGGGTTAAGTAGGAAATTTCGGAACCTTGCTCTAAAGGTTTAAATACTTTTGCAATACTAATCAAACTTGCACATGTTGTTTAACTAAGCATACAGACACATAATTCAAAGTATCAGACAACAGGAAGTATATGTCTGCAAGATCTGAAAACTTCTGTAACTACAATTCTTCAACATTGTATCAATAGTTGTAAAGTATAATAAAAGACTTTAATAGCTATTGTGGAAGAATTACAATTGTTTCCCTTGTTTTCAGTCCTCCCCCCATAAAAATCAATTAAAGAAATAATAAAATTGAAAAAAGAATTAACTGAACATGAATTATATATTACCGAAAAAAAAGATATCTAAATATGATTTGTAACTCAATTTCTTTATTAACTTGATCAGTTTTGAAGCGAAAACAACAAACAAGAATATACATCCACAGGACACCATGCCCAAGTTGCACTATCACATTTTCACGTTCAGTAAACTCAGAAATATGGGTCAAAACCCTAATTTGACATATATATTACACTGTTCATATCATAATGAACATGTGTACTATGTTTGAAGTTGATGTGACCAAACATTACCCAACGAATAAAACGTCGGCCTAATATTGGACAGACGAACGGACAGACCTTATATTTCGACCTGCTACTAACGGAGGCAAAGTAAAAAAAATATCTTGAACTCAATTGCTGGGTATGGTATTGCAGATGGTAAAAAAAATGGAACTATTTATTGCCTTTGAGATCTGTAAAAATTGAACACTGCATGACACATTAATCTCAACCATTTTCGTAATTTCAAAAAAGTATAAATTCATTTACCTGAAAATATAATAAAATGTGAAGTTTCATAGTATCCATCTGCAAGGTTAATATTGGATACACGCAAGTCTACTGATGTATTCCATATTAAAAGAAAAGTTGGCAGTTTATACCAAACAAGGGAAAAGAAAGAAAAGCCAAAACTAGAGTCTAAATAGCCTGTGTCGCTCACCTATATATGTGCATCTTCAACAGTGGACTAAAATAGGATTCATGACAAAAATCTCTTTCTATTGATTATGTATTGCTTATAAGTTTTTTTGTTTACAGTTTCTCTCTATCTTCTTTAGTTTCTGCTCCAAACACAAAAGTAGGTAAAACAAGTTGTCATTAAGGGCAATCACTCATAAAAAAAGTCTTTTTACGATTGCGGCAAAATTTGACAAATTTGTACATCTTGTCTTGCTGATATTTTTTGCTATTGAAAGTGTCTATATATCTTTTATAATTTTCCAGATAATAAGCAAAAAAGTAAAATATTGGTAAAAATCGTCATTTAAGAGTTAGAACTCCAATAAGGAGTCGGCTGACGATTTCAGCTATGTTGACTTATTTGTAGCTCTAGTCTTGCTGATCATTTTTGCCAATAAATGTGGCTATCTATCTATAATAGTTTTCAAAACAAGAAGCAATAACTCAAAAAAGGCTTATTTGTAGATCCTGTCTTGCTGATATTGTTTCCGTATAACGTTACTCTCCATTTCTTTTGATAATTTTCGAGATAGTGGTAAAACTGAAAAAAAATGGTAAAATTCGTCAGTTAAGGACAAAAATTCCCAAAAGAAGTCTGATAGTTTTGATGTAAACGAAAAAAGTAGATACGATCCTTCTGAACATTTTTGAACCTGTAAGATTTTCTTCATTAATTGCGGCCCAGTAGTTCAGAGGAGAAGCTTTTTTGTAAAAATTAAAAGTACGATGGCAACGGACGGTGGACGCCTAGTAATAAAAACTCCTACTTGGCCCTGTGGGCCAAGTTCGCTTAAAAAAAGGATGATGACAGTAGTTTTAATTTAACATAGCAATGTTGAAACAGACTTAAGAAATGTGTTAAAGACGTGTTTGTCACGTCTTTATCTCTTTCGATTCTGCATCTAAACAAACTTTAAGGTAATCCAGTATATTCCGAAAGAGAACTAGTTGTATTCAAACAAAATATCTATGTAAAATATAAAACGTTATCGGAGGCCAGACAGAATTTGTTGAAAAGCATGCAGACATCAAGATAAAAGGAAATGGGAAGGAAACGAAGATTATTTCAGAAGAGTGGATCATATATTTACCTCGAACATCACTGTAGAGATTCTAATATTCAAAATGCGCAACTAGTGCAGTAAAATTGGCTCTATTAAAGTTATGATATGGTTTTGGAACAAATCAATAGGGTACAAGTTGGTACAGGTTTGAGTTGGCACAGATCCAATATTGCTGTCTGTCCTCTGTCCAACTTTGCTGAACATATAAAGGACAGACAAACCATTCTTAGTTATTTAGATGATTTGTATGTATAGAGTTAAGTGAAACAGATAAAGTTATCATCTAAATTACGTGCTATTGGGTTCTTTTATTTTTTTTTGTAAAGTAAATTATTTACCTTTAATCTTAGGTCCATTTTTGGTAATATACTTTTTGCGATGCTCGGTACTCGGCATCCCGCCATTGTGTTATTGTGCTGTGGTCATTTTTTGTATTCTTGTCTTTCATTTTTGCTTATATGCTATGTCTATACTAACATTTATTCAAATAGAGAAATCGTGGAAAATACTTGTTCTCACAAAACTTATTTATTAGAATCATATCCTCAAATAATCCCTGCATGTACTCTTAACTTTTCTTTTACAGTACACTTTATACCCCCTTGTATCAATTTTAAAGAATATGAAAACAAGACTTTGATTATTGCCAGCTTACACTATATGCTTGATTTCTGACATGCAATGTCTAGAACCTGTATGAAACTATTCTGATAATTATAATAAATTGAAAGCATTCCAGAATACTATAGGTGCAAAGTTTAGTAGTTAATCATTCCAACATTCAAGATTATATAAAGTATCCAATCCGGCCTCTGTCTCCAGTCCACATCTTACTGTATGCCTATTTATCTATACAAGTTCCCAATTTCTGCCTCAAATGGTCAGTTTAGAAATCTTGTCACAATAGTATCATCTCTAACATAATTTAGCTATTATATGAACTATAAGTGCTTAAACAAAGCCATATTTACAAAAGTTGTATACATATGATGAAGTAACCAGGTACCAATATGAATTCATTAAAAATTATATAGAACTGACTGCTAAAATCTGTATTTTGGCCTAACTTGAAAGCACAGTTATTGTTTTCTATACAAAAGACTTTCATAATAATAAAATCACAGCCTTTACAGTTTAATTATCTGTTTTATGACCCAGGGGTTAGGGAATTTTCTGTTGTTTGCCACTGGGGCGTCACATAAGTAATTCTGCTGGTTCTGTAAATATTGCATATTTAGTACACTTTTTAGGATAGAACTCACAATTGTTAGTTTTATTGAGGAATTTTTGTATCTCTAGCTTGTATTTTTTTTCATGCCGCAGTCACAAGAAAGCACATTCAGGTGTTACGGCTTACTTATTGGTTTTCGACAGGACAGAAACACCCCAACAACAATATTCATCAAGGATCTACATAATTCAATGACTGCAAAGAGTAAATATAAGCACTTCTTGATAATTTAAATTACAAATATGCATATATTATGAATTAACTTTGCATTCAGTTCTTAAATTAAACTATGCATACTGTAAACTGGGAATTTATGCTGAGTCATCACAGTTAAGGCCCAAGATTTTCTCAATCTTCATAAAATATGGTTCCCTTATATGATCTCTATATTACATCTCATAGAGACATAACTTGGGAATGTTACAAGTATTAATACACATGGATAGCGACAAAATTTAATTTTGAGGAAGACCCAGAGTGAAGGGAGGGGTAGTACAGAATTTTAGTATAAGTTTAAAATCTTTGAATTTTAGGTCATATAAATGTTGAAAATTTGCCGCACAGTCCTATGTTTTGATCTTTGAAAAAAATAGTAGTGCATATGAAGTATTCATTCTAGGATATATTTTTTACGAAACTTCATAGTAATTGTGTCACAGTTTTATCCGTAAAAGGAGTTCCTATGGAAAATTTCATTGTCTATATTTACAGAAGTGCAACCTATATGCCATTTTGTTTTTCTTTGTTGAAATATTTGTTTGTTTTTATAGTGATTAATATAATAACACAATGTTGACTGCTCTACCCCTATTTTTGACATTTTTACCTAATAATTGTCTGTTTGTTTTGTTCACACATTGTTGTTAATATAAGGGAATTTTATGTGACTGTCGTACAAGTGAGAGGCATAGCTATACAACTAAGTTTTATCCACCATTTTCTACATAAGGAAATGCCTGTACCAAGTCAGGAATATGACAGTTGTTTTCCATTAGTTTGAAGTGTTTGTGCTTTTTATTTTGCCATTTGATAAGGGACTTTCCGTTTTGAATTTTCCTTGGCGTTCGGTATTTTTGTTATTTTGCCTTAAGAAATAGTTTTCTTGACGACAATCTTGCCAAATCATGTCCTTTTCCAATCTTGGAAACATAAAATTCTGATTTCATTGAATCTGTGAAATGAATATAAAGTCTTGAACCAGATTATTCATAAAAGTTTCAAATTCAATATACCATTGAGGAGAAAGGGCCAACTAATGTTCATGGAAATGAGATGTGCCGATGCTTATACAACTGAATACAAAATATCATTGACTTATCATAATTGGTTCCTCTTCAACTGACCTAATCACAAATTTTAACATATTCACTATGCAAAAGTTTCAAAATTAATACACCATGATTGAGAAAGCACAAAGCAGTGTCAAATAATCTCCTTGGGAATGAGATGTACCTTTACTTATACAACTGCTTACCAAATATCATTGACCTACCATAAGTGGTTTCCCTTAAACTGACCTTATCACCAACTCTAACAGTTAAACTAAGCAATTGTTTTAAAGTCAATAGACCATGACTGAGGGAGCGGGACGGTATAATTTCCATGAACATGAGATGTGCCAATACTAATAAAGCATAACAAGTATCATTGATTTACAATTAGTGGTTCTCCTAAAACTGACCTAATTATCAACTTTAACAAATTATTGCTGCTACCGCCTCCGGAAACAACATATCTAAGTCTTGCTTTTTGACTCAGTCATAGTGACACAAAATTGAACTGACTAATGTGGATCAATTTCATAAGAGCCAACGGTAGAATCTATATATTTCTTACTGAATGTAGATCTGACGAATCCTCCCAAACATCCACCTCTCACTGTAGGCATAGTAGAGGCTGGGGTTGTTGTAAAACTATCTGTGCCGTTTTTTCTCTTGCAAATAAAACCTTTTTTGTATACGTCTTGACATTGGCTGTCACCCCAACGCCCTGAAACACAATAAATGGCTACATCTACACATAGATGATAATATTTTTTTTCTGCCAAACACTGTTGCCTGCCAGGAAGGCATTTTTGCCAGACCATCATTTTTTGTATACCAAATTCAGATGATTTTCCAAACAACATATTAATACAACTACAATTCTGAGTGAACTCACAAAAGGATTCCCATACACCACAAATTTGATTATCTTCCCTCTAATAATTATGCTGGACTGGTATTTTATTCCTAAATTAACATTATTATCATGTATTGTTCTACAACTGTGTAAAGTTCATCAATATCCATGCATTCACTTATGAATAGCACTTACAAGTCAAACGGACAGGATGGACAGGATGATAACTATATTACCAACTTTGTTATTATGGTAGTGGTGGTAGGGATATAACAATAAGGTAAAAGATCAACTACCAACACGAACCACTTGCTATTGATTTACTTTGAGACATTCCAAACTTAAATATGGCAGTATAAGTTGTCCAGCATTAGCATCAGGTAGTTTTTCTCTGATATATATATCATTTGTATCTGATCTAACGTTCTATGGTCTTGAATTAGTATATGCTCATGTCTTGTGTGTATTTAAACGGATTGAAAATGATGCAAACATCAACAATCTGAGTCTTAAGCATCTTGGTGTAAATGTAGTCTAAGACACATGATTTTTTTATTAGTTGTTATTGTCTTTGAACTAGCTTTTATAGTTTGTTCTGATGTTGTGCTGTTTCACATTTGTCCCAGACTTAAGAGAGGGTTTGGCACCAGCAAACTTGTTTAACCCCGCCATATTCTGTATGTGCCTGTCCTAAGCCAAGAGCCTGTAATTCAGTGGTTGTCGTTTGTCTCTGTATAACATTTGTTTTTCGTTAATTATTTTGTAAAAAAATCAGGCCGTTAGTCTTCCCGTTTGAATTATTTCAGACTTTTCATTTCGGGGCCTCTTATAGCTTACTTCATGTATGTGGTTTTAAGTCATTGCTGAAGGCCTTACGGTGACATATAGTTAATAACTTCTACGTCATTTGGTCTCTGGTGGAGAGTAATCTCATTGGTAATACTATCACATCTCTTTTTCATAATGAAAAAAGCAGACATTAAAAAATTTTTACTCACAACACATCCCATAGTTTTTTTTATTATATCTTTCCAGAAATATACGAAAATGTACCTACAACTGTTCTTCTGGTTTCTTCAACTTCATCCCTTCGTAAATTTTACGGACGCCATCACGAGTTGGTTGACCGTTATGGAATATCTGTTTCACAGATGATAGCGGATATGTTCCAAATGTCATAACTACAATCCCGTCCCCTTTTCCCCGAATGTGACCTACCAAATTAAACTACCGGGTTCGTACTAACATGAGCAAATCAACGGGTGCAACATGTGGAGCAGGATCTGCTTACCCTTCCGGAGCACCTGAGATCAACCCCAGGTTTTGGTAGGGTTCGTTTTGTTCAGTCTTTAGTTTTTTATGTTGTGTTTTGTATACTATAGTTTGTCTGTTGGTCTTTTTCTTTTTTTTTTTAGCCATGACGTTGTCAGTTTATTTTCGACTGAGTTTCAATGTCCCTTTTGTATCTTTCGCCTCTCTCTGACTAATACAGATACAAAAACATGTATTGTAACAATACTATTTCACTGTAACATTACCTGGTGAACTTAAGAAAGTCAATCTACCTGTATAATATGTAAATAACTGTTTTGGAATATTTTGCAATGCTCTTCAACTTTGTGTTTGATTTTCACCTTTCAATGTTTTGATTTGAGCGTCATTGTGTAGACGAAACACAAGTCTGGCGTAAAAAATTGTAAGCCTGATGTCTTTGATGAGTTTTTACGACCACTGGGTCGATGGGTCTATGACACTGCTGGTGGACGTTTTGTCCCACAGACCATCACCAGCCCAGTAGTTAGCACTTTGTGTTGACATGAAATATCATTAATATGGTCGCTTATTCTATATTATTTCCCGTTTTAAAATTTTTGATTTACTCGAAACATTAAGGTTTTTTACCCCCAGTTAGCCGTATGAGGCATACATTTTTGGACATGATCTTCAATTTTGTGGTTAATTTTAGCCTTCCAACATTTTGGTTTGAGCACCACTGATGAATCTCATGTAGACTAAACGCGCGTTTGGCGTCACATGTTATATGCTTGATATCTATGTGAGTTTTTAGAAAGTAAGCATATTTGAAGTTTCCAGTACCTTCACACATTTCAAAGCATTTCTTAGCTAACCTGAGAAAATGTACATATCTAAACCTGAACTGCGAAAGTGTACATACCTGAACCTGGCTGTATCTAGCTTACCTAAAAAAACGTACATACCTGAACATGACTGTATCTGCTTACCTGAAAAAATGTACATACCTGAACCTGACTATTTCTAGCTTACCTTAAAAAGTGTACATACCTGAACCAGACTGTATCTAGATTACCTGAGAAAGTGTACATACCTGAACTTGACTGTATCTAGCTTACCTTAGAAAGTGTACATACCTGAACCTGACTGTATCTAGCTTACCTCAATAAGTTTACATACCTGAACCTGATTGTATCTAGCTTACCTGAGAAAGTGTACATACCTGAACATGACTGTATCTAGCTTACCTTAGAAAGTGTACATATTTGAACCTGACTGTAACTAGCTTACCTTAGAAAGTGTTCATACCTGAACATGACTGTATCTAGCTTACCTGAGAAAGTGTACATATACCTGAACCTAAATGTTTCTAGCTTACCTTAAAGTGTACATACCTAAACCTGACTGTATATAGCTTACCTGCAGAAGTGTACAAACCTGTGCATGACTGACTCTAGCTTATCTTAAAAAGTGTACATACCTAAACTAGACTGTATCTAGCTTGCTTGAGAAAATTTACATACCTGAACCTGACTGTATCTAGCTTATCTTCGAAAGTGTACATTCATGAGCTTGACTGTATCTATCTTATTTGAAAAAAACGTTTATACCTGAACTTAAATGTATCTAGCTTACCTGCTGAAGTGTACATACCTGAACCTGACTGTATCTTGCTTACTTGAGAAAGTGTACATACCTAAACCTGACTGTATCTAGCTTACCTTAGAAAGTGTTCATACCTAAACATGACTGTATCTAGCTTACTTGCGAAGGTGCACATACCTTCACCTGACTGTATCTAGCTTATTTTCGAAAGTGTACATATCTGAACCTGACCTGAGAAAGTGTACATACCTGAAACTGAACCTGGCTGTATCTAGCTGACCTGAGAAACTGTACATACCTGAAACTGAACCTGGCTGTATCTAGCTGACCTGAGAAAGTGTACATACCTGAACCTGAATATCTAGCTTACTCACTAAAGTGTATATTCCTGAACCTGAACCTGATCTAGCTTACTTGCGAGAGTGTACATACCTGAACCTGACTGTATCTAGCTTACTTGCGAAAGTGTACATATCTGAACCTGACTGTATCTAGCTTACTTGCGAAAGTGTACATACAGTACTACCTGTGACATTCTCTGATTAATGGTGGCCATAAAAAGTATGGCAACCATGATGACCCTATATGTCCATCATAATATCCCCTGTAGTTTAATTAATATACAAGGTATTAATCAAAAACAAGTGAAGGGTAAGGGGAAATCATGGTTGCATTTAAGTGATAAAATTAAATAGCTTATAGGTAAAGTGTCTCAGGTAGATTGTAAATGTGCATGTATATGATATGTCTCAGGTAAAATTTGTCAAATTTAATTACTGTGATAATGACAAGAAAATTAAAATATAAAATAAAATAATAAAACTAGTTAAACATATAGCTTAATAATGTTTTTAGAAAAAATAGTCTCATGACCTCAGTCATACTGCCATGGCTGTTAGTTTTGCTGTTATGCTGTTATATCTTTTAAATAATTCTCTCAATTTAAGTTATTTCTTACATGTATTTGTTGGCAAAGGAAGAATAAATGAATCTCATCTTCTCATAAATTGCAAACCTGCACAGTCTCCAATTTCTATGGATCTTATAATGTTTGTTTTTTTCTATTGAAAAGATGCTCATGGTGTTGCTCAAATTATTTTTCTAAAATCAAAATTGTTAAGATTTAGTGATACTGATCACCATTCAACATTGATTATAAAACAAATGTTTAAGGTTACCTTTATGACTTTATTTAAATAAAATGAAGGCGATTCATTCTTTCTCTATTGACATTTTAAAATATTCATTATAGCAAAGTTTAATAATATCTTTATTGTCATATAAACATTATTTGTATGTGACAAAAACATAAAAAACATAACAAACATAATAACGAAAAGAAATAACAATTCTCTAAGAAATGAACCTTTCGAAAAAAAATTATAAGACTTCTGCCCTCAGTTTTAATGACTGTTTTATAAAGGCGCCAATATTTTCTAAGATGTTCCATGATAGAGGGATTAAGCATTTCTTTTACTTTTTGCTCTTGGTTAATTATAGAGACATAATTATGAGAAGGACAAAAATTTTCGTTAATTTTTACATTCAAGGAGGAAGTGTTCTTCATCCTCCAGCAATGGGCAGAAGTTCTTTTTGTTATTTTACATTCAAGGAGGAAGTGTTTGTCATCTTCCAGCAAGTAGCACAGTTTACATATTCTATCCTTTCTAGGAATATTATAAAAGCTTTTTCTATTTCTAAATTATGGTCACTTAATTCTTAACTTAGTAAAGCATTTTTAAATAGAAAAGTCATTGGACGCTAAATAAAATTCTATCCAAGATTTAGAGTTTTAAATTTTTATTAAGTTTTATTAAGTTTACTATTTTCATCACAACTTTTTATTCTATTTTCAAAAATATTCCTATATCTTTCTTTAAACTCATTTTTAATCAAGGCCTTTAAAGAGTTTACTAGTCCCTACAATTATTAACTTTATCTTAAAGGTCTGGGTTGCGAGCCCTGGAGTTTTAACTGACAGAAATTAACCAAACTGAAGATGTCATATTTGAATTGATTACAATTATTTCAATAAACAAGACCATTTTTTGTTAAATAATTTCTTTTCATAAGATTAACTATAGATCAAGAAATTCTTCATTAGCAGTTTTAATGAAGATATATCAAATTTTGATGATATATTAGTATATTCTGAATGTAGGACAGAACGTTACTGAACAAAAAGTATAATACAAACTTATCTGCACCAGATTGGCATTTGGTAAATTAAAGTCTATTCATTGATGCTACAGACACAACTCTTGTTTTGAGATTTGAAAAAAAAATTGATAAACAAAAATTGTTTTTATCCAATCATAATTGTAGTTTTCTAGAATAAATAATACATTGTACAACTTTGTAAAAACAATTGATCACAAAAGAATTGATAATGATCATCTTATTGTTAAGAAAACAGGTTCGTTAAATTACTGGCTTCATGGTGCCTATAAACATATCATTTGCATGATAAGAAGTTAATAATAATTCATTTAATAATGCAAATTAACAATTGACTACAATGTACATTATGATGTACAGTAACTTTTTTTCTGTAAAAAATATATTATTATTCTCTGTTTTCTTTGTTTTCAAGTCAATAATTTATCTTTGACTTTTTGTCTTATCTACTTTGTGGCTTTCTGTCTGTTTACCTATATTTCTTAACACAATGAATCCAGTCAAATAAAATCTTTAAATAAGCCACATTGACATAGTTTTAATGTATATTATTTAATCATTATTATATTTTTAGAGAACGTTTTGTATACAAGTTGTAGTTTAAAAAAAAATGAAATAGAAGTAAGTCTTTTGTAAATCACAGAAAGAAAAAAATTATCGTAAACTGAATTGTAGCTCTTTCCTTTGATTTTTTTTCTTCTTTAGTAGTCATTGGGGACAATGTAATAAAAACACCTTACTGCCTATGTCATAAGCATTATGAAAAAGATTCAAATGAAGTTGCTACAATATAAATACTTGACACTGCTTGAGAAAAGAAATGAATTTGCATCCCATTGGCATAAAAATACAGAATGATAAAATAAGTATCACATGTACAAAAATAAAAATTACAACATTGTAACCTATACACGTAGATGCTTTTTAACCTTTGGAAATGAATAAATAAAAAAATCTATTTAAATCTTTAAACAAAACTTATTCACATTTAGGTAATTGAAAAGAGACAAGAACAATTTACCTATACAGGTAAAGTTTTGATGCAGTATGTCATTTACACACATTTTTTTATCATTAGATAAAATCAGTGTATCTATCCAGGTAACCTAATTAGACTGACCACCAGCCCATGGTTTATGACCCCAATAAATGGCCAACATCCCAGGTTTTATGACCCCCAATAAATGGTCACCATTTGATGTTGAACATAGCAGAGTTGACCATTTTTCAGAGAATGTCACAGGTTGTTCTGTACCTGAACCTGACTGTATCTAGCTTACCATAGAAAGTGTACATATCAGAACCTGACTGTATCTAGCTTACTTGCGAAAGTGTGCATACCTGAACCTGGCTGTATCTAGCTCACCTTAGGAAGTGTACATGCCTGAACCTGACAGTACCTAGCTTACCTGCGGAAGTGTACATACCTCAACCTGACTGTATATAACTTACCTTAGAAATTTTACATGCCTGAACCTGATTGTATCTAGCTTACTTGCGAAAGTGTACATACCTGAACCTGACTGTATCTAGCTTATTTGCGAAAGTGTACATACATGAACCTGACCTGAAAAAGTGTACATACCTGAACCTGAATGTATCAAGATGACCTGAAAAAGTGTACATACCTGAACCTGAATGTATCTAGCTTACTTGCGAGAGTGTACATATCTGAACCTGACTTTATCTAGCTTACCTAAGAAAGCGTACATACCTGAACCTGACTGTATATAGCTTACCTGAGAAAGTGTACTTACCTGAATCTGACCTGAGAAAGTGAACATACCTGAACCTGACTGTATCTAGTTTACCTGAGAAAGTGTACATATCTGACATGGCAGTATCTAGCTTACCTTAGAGAGTGTACATATCTGAACCTAACTGTATCTAGCTTACCTGCGGAAGTGTACATACCTGATTTCAGAACCTGACTGTATCTAGCTTACCTTAGAAAGTGTACATACCTGAACCTGAATGTATCTAGCTTACCTGAGGAAGCGTACACACCTGAATTGACTGTATCTAGCTTACTTGAAAAAGTATACATACCTGAACCTGACTGCATCTAGCTTACCTGAGAAAGTTTACATACTTGAACCTGACTGTATCTAGCTTACCTATTTCCTCTGAACAAGTAGAACTTTTTGATTAGGGGTCAGATGTTGCCCGCTTCCGGTTGCGGGATTATCTCGCTGTGTTGAATACCCATTGGTTGACTTGAGCTGTTTTCTGCTCTTTTGTCAAGTTGTTGTCTCTTTGACACATTCCCCGTTTCCATTCTCAATTTTATACCTGAACCTGACTGTACCTAGTTTACATGAGAAAGTGTTCATACCTGACTCTGACTGTATCTAGCTAATCGGGGTACCTGAGAAAGTGTACATACCTTAATCCTGACTGTAACTAGCTTACCTGAGAAAATGTACATACCTGAATTTGACTGTATTTAGCTTATCTGAGAAAGTGTACATACCTGAACCTTACTGTATCTTGACACACCTGTTGACAGAAGAATAACCTGGTTTGCCCGAGCCTCAGGATACATACCTGAACCTGACTGTATCTTGACAATCCTGTTGACAGAAGGATAACCTAGTTCGCCAGAGCCTCAGGATACATACCTGAACCTGACTGTATCTTGACACACCTGTTAACAGAAGGATAACCTGGTTTGTCCGAGCCCCAGGATACATACCAGTATCTGAATTTATCCTCACACATTTGTTGACGGACGGATATCGTGGTTCCCCTGAGTCCCAGGATACAAAGTCTACCGGGGAATTATCAGACCATCTAAAAAAATAGGAGTAATATGCATGGCATTGATGATTTTGGTTATCGATAAATATAAATCGAAAGTTCTTTAAATGTACATGACTATGAAAAGTTTAAAACTCCTGAAAAGTTCCCATCGGGGAAATCAACTGATAATTTATCTTTATAGTAAATTGTAATACACATAGCTACTATACTTACAATGCTTTGTCTGATAGCGTTGAATGAAAAATCTTTGCTTTTATGGAAATATTGTCCTTTTTTTTAGCAATAATTTCAATTTTGAAATTGGTTATTTGGTACAAGGATACAGTGTGTCCTCTCTTATCGAAGTGCACTGAAGGGCAAGAATTGTATTCTGTAATTAATGGAACACATTTAAGCAACATTTTGAACTGGAGCTGCAGTATGTTCTTTTGTCCATAACTGTACATTTGTAGTTGAACCTATTTTTAGAACATAAACATATATGATACACAACGTATGTTGTTTTTTTATAATATAATTGTCTTGACAAGTATGTTTGTACACATCATTTTGTTTCTTGAATATATATTTAAATGAAATGCATCCCATTGGCTGGATCTGATTTAAAGAATGTTCACCTCACTGCCCTATTTTTTTTAAAATTCCCACAGGTAGAGATGGGGTCTAGATGATATAGCAATTAAGCCAGTGACATCAGGGTTTTTGACTGCATCTAATTAAGTTTTTACCCCAAAAAGTGATTTTGTTTTGTGTTTCAATTTTCCACGACTATGATGCATCGCCTTTGAATTTTGACACTATTTTGTTTTGTTACAAATCATTTTCCTTTTCCACAGTATGTCATCTGAAATGTAAGATTGTGCTAACATCATAAATATAAAGATTACTGTAAATAATGAAACTTTTGCGTGCATTTATAATTGGGCAATTAGTTTCAGACAATGGACATAAGAGCGCGATTTGATTATTGCGTTTTAAGGAAATGCTGCATAAAAATAAAGCAATGCAAATTAAAAATGTGAGCTTTATTTTTGCCTCAGCCATGTCAAAATTTTCCCTATAATAAAAACGACGCAAAAATTTCTAAATTTACAGTATTCCTATTAAATAAAATGGTCTTTCACATGTTTCAGTAAATCTTGGTATTAATTTATCTACTGAAGCGTTCCAATTCCTTTTTTATGTAATTAAACTTCAGAAAAATAAATAAATTAATTGTCATGCAAAGAAAAAAAATAAAGCCATTTAGTTCTTAAACTATATATGTTCCTTTCAGAGATTAGTTAATTGTCAAGTGGCTGGTATTATGATGTGAGCAAAATGTGTTTCTTTATTGCAGAAAAAATTTCTTTATTTATGAAGAACTTACAGACTCTAAATAATCATAGGACAAAAACTGAAATCACTTGATCACCTGGTGATGAATCACTAACAATTTTGGGTTAGTAGGAAATTTCCAAAGGTCTGTGAGGTCACACCTGCCAAAATCTGGTCAAGTGATTAGTATGATAAAAAAAAAGTTATCCATAGAATGAACATGAATGCATGTGTTTTCCAGTTAAGCAAATCCACATTAGTAATTCAAAGTATCAGCAAATACAGTAAGTAGCTAAACATCTGACAGATCATTACTGTCAAACTGCTGACAAATAATGAGTAATTCTATTAAGTAGTTTCTGAGAAAAGTGTGAACAAAATTTTTGTTGGAAGGACAAACTGATTGCAATATAGACGTCACTTCTAAAGTGGAAATACATGTATTATATGCCATAACCAAGAACCACAAATGTGTACACCTCAAGCAAGTGACATTTTTTAAGGCTTCCAAACAGCAAGATCTGTAAATTAGATGGAAAAGAAGGATTTGATGTATTTAGTCATTATTCCGTGGCAAAATCCAAATTTACAAAACAAAGAGCAGATCTAGAGGAACAATGCTTTATTTGTAATTCTTCTCAAAGTTGGTGTACTTTTCATCTAGAATGTCTTTACCAAGCATAGTATATTACCTGTAGCAGTCATACCGACGATTCAATTTATTCAGGCCAATCCACATATCAAACTTTTTGTTAATCTAAAAGTAATATATATTCATATACAAAAATTACATCCCTTATTAATTTCCATTGATTGAGAAAATTTTACATTTTGTGAATATTTGATTTTATGGTTTTATCAAACTCTGCATACAAGCCTTTAGAAAAATTTGTACTTCGTTAAACATTTAAATTCATGGTTTACCTTTACCTACGAAATCCACTAATACCTGTATTCACCAAAAATAAGGAATCCACAGTCATAACAGTACTGAGTTTCATACTATGGAATCATCATTATTTGTCTGGAGTTTTTTTTTTTTTTGTCTTAAGGTATTCCATGAATCTAAGCATTCAACAAAATACAAAGACCTAAAAGGCAAATAAGCAGAACTTGTAAAAGCCATGAAATAGAATATCCACAAATACACTTTTTTTCCTCAATTCACATAAATTGTACATTGTATCAAGGATAATACATGACTCCAGTATGGGAAGCTGCACATGTACTTTTGACCTTGTGTGTACTCTCATTAGTTAAAATTTCATGCTATTTACATTTTTGTAAGTGAAATATTACAAAAATGAAATATTTTGAGTGGATTGAGTCTCAAAAACACATTTTTAGAGAAAAATGCCTTGAAATAGGACTCTATCATGAATATTAGTAGACAGAGCAAGCCATAGTCAGTGTTTTGGGGAACTTTTTCTGACTTTTTCTCCTTATTTCTTATATTTTGCTATAATAGAAAAATTTTCCTGATTAATACTTTAATAAATATACAGTTATAAGTTAATGACATTAGTTTTGAAGCAGTAACAACAAATTTTTTACTAAAAGGGAAGCTTTTTATGTCTCTCTCTGGAGTGCGGCGGCGTAAATTTAAGTTTTACGTAAGGACTTATTGAAACCTACATGGAGTCAGTAAACTTTAATATGGATATTTCATTCAGCTTGAATACTTCAGTTACTCATTTATTATCACATTTCTTTCATTAAAAAATTGAAATTCTGAGGACATGAGAGGTATAAATGGACCAAACGGGGTCTTATAATGAAGACAAGGAGGTCCATTAGTTGTATTTATCATCCTATGGTCATCTTTTGTATTATATGCAACTGTTTGTAGGCAGATGAGATACATATTTGATCATTTATTGGTCCACACTATATTCTATCATGATGCGGCTTGATTTGGATTTTTCGAAGAAATTTTGCTCGTATCGCTGTAGATGTCGTCTCACATTATACAAGATTTTTTATTGAACTGATTATGACAAAACTTGACAGTAATGCTTAAAATAACCAGTATTACAAAGAAAAAAATCACATTCAATTTATTCCAAAAAAAGTCTTCTTTATCCACAGTAATTCAAAATAAAAACTGATTGTTATTCTTAAAATTTCTAACATGCAAAATAACAATAAAACAAGTCACATTATGTTGACTTCATGTCTGGTTTTCTTTTACCCTGTCAGAGCAGAAGACTAAAACTGTCAAATTATGAACACAGAATTTCATTGATATAATGAGATCACACAAATATTGCTTAATGTAGCGCAAGTTTAATACATCTATGTCATTTGGTTTCTAGTGGATAGTTATTTCAATGGCAATCATACCACATCTTCTCATTTTATGTAGCAGGAGATTCTGAACTTGTTGACATACCTGGTCTAAACACCATTGAAATTGTGCAATTCCAATTATTTAGTCCTCATGTTTTGATGACACTTGATTGATTGTTGTTTGCTTAACATCCAGGGGCAAATATTTCGACTGTCACTAGATTAGGAGGGTATGTTGATTGGAGGCAGACATTTTTCTTTGCATCCGGCCACCTCAAATTGTTGTTGAAATGTTTCTTTAAATTGCAGAATCATGAGTCATCAGATTTAACGCCCCCCTACATGGCTGCATATTTATATACCCTGCTAAAAAAAACTCCACACTTAAACAAGGGTTTTACTGCCTGATTGGAGAAGTCTAAGGGATGACCATATTCTATACTTCAGTCAATCCTTGGGGTTGTGTTTATATTTGAACTGACACTGGTATTTTACCTCAATACATATACGTCACACGTTTTCTTGTTGTATAAATAGCTGAAAGGACCTGCATATCTACATTTTTACTTAACCATTAACTCATGATTTATACACTTACAAAGCTTACTTATAATGAAATTCAAGATATCAGCTTATTTAGTTTCCTATATCCGAAACTCTTTTGATCTATGTTTAGTTTTTATGTGGTTTGCTGGACATCCATTGTTAACCGATGTTTAGAATGTTACCTTAAACACTGATTGCCACTTGACAAAAAAAAAAATGAAAAAAAAATCACAACTTAACATCGATAAGGCCAACATTTTTATTATCTCTTTCACGAGATTTTTTCTGAAAATTAGGGTCGTGGGTCGAAATGAAAATAAAAATAAAAGAATTGAATGGAATGGTTTGAGTCGACAAAATAAATAAAAATAAGTATGGTTTTAACCATTTCTTTTTTTATTTTGTAATTACATTTATCCCCTTCTTGCATTTTTGTTGTTGTTGTTATCACAGATTTATCATAGATTTATGCAAACTCCATACAGCGTTATCGTTCGGGTCATAATTCCTTTTCATTTAATTATTGCCCCCACTTATAAACATGAAACCCTGAATCTGCAACTGTTAACCTATATAAAAACTGTTCCTTCTCAATTTTACACAGTACATGATAAATTGCCCTTGGTATTTTTCAACTTCAATTTGTGCACTTTGGTACATGCATGTTTGACAACTGGTGGTTTTTCACAAAATGGTTTGCTTTGTATTTTTAACATGGGTCAATAAAAGATTGCCGTTCAGTGGGTGTTGCTCCACGATGGTGATATGACATGTACAGTGCCCTCTTGAAACAATTTTCCAGACTGTGTTTTCGTTAGATGTTTTCTGCTTTGTATCGATCTGATGAGTTAAGCCTTTTTCAACTGATCGTTATAGTTTGTACTTATGTTGTACTGTTACACCACTGTTCCAAGTTAAGGGGCCAGCAAACTATCTTTAATCTGCCACATTCTATATTTGCCTGTCCCAAGTCAGGAGCCTGTTGTTCAGTGGTTGTCGTTGGTTTATGCCTGTCATATTTGATTTTCGTAAATTGTTTTGTTATAAATTAGGCCGTTAGTTTTCTTATATGACTTTTTATAGACGACTATATGGTATAGATTTTTTTCATTGTTGAAGGCCGTACGGTTGCTTATAATTGCTTACATCCACTTCATTTGAATTTTGGTGGATTGTTGTCTCATTGGCAATCATACCACATCTCCTTATATTTTATATTCTGATGGTTAGTTGTCTTGGTCTCGTCTCACAGGGATCTTTCATACATCCCGTACCTATTACGTGTATACATTTTAATATGTAAGTCGATTCTACTGGCCATTCTTTTAATACATTTTACAAGAAGACAACAGAAAGCACATCTGGGGGTTTGGCTAGAATAGCCCAATGCCATGGCATAAAACGAAAAAAAGAAGATGATAAAATAAACAAACACCTGAATTACATTTGCAACTGTCTACTCAGTAACACTGTTTAACTGACCTATTTCTGTGTAGATATTTAGTTTCCTTCTATTTTCATTAACAATCAATACAATACAACTACTGTTACTTGAGAAGGGTCATATCAAAGATTTTACCGGACAGTTTATTTTTACATGTTCTGCAGGAACGAAAAAAATGCCCATCAAAATTAAAAAAAGATTATAACTTTCTGAAACACAAAATGTATTTAATGCTTATACATCTAGTGGATGCTAGGCCTTAACACTTTTCCAACTGCACGTGTATGTGTGTACTCTTAATTTTTTAGGTGGAAAAACGGCCATTTTTGTCCATTTGTAATGATGAACCTTAAAAAAATAGCTTGGATCTTGTGTTCGGCATCAGTAGCAATGCTTGCATCTGTTCGACTGGTAATCAGGCCCTTTTCTACGTGATGAAATATACCGGGGAGAAATTAGGTTCCGACAAGAAGAGCGCGGTAAAGTATTGATCTTTTATTTTAAGCAACCAAAAAATTTCGGCTATCGGCGATAATGAAAAAATAATATTTTACAGCATTCCCTTTTATTTTCAGGAAAAATACGGCTGGCGGGTTTGTAAAACAAGATAATTTAATAATGTTGACCTAATTTGTACTCTCACTTAGGAGAAAAATCTAGCCTAAAAAAGGAAGCAATACCCGATCTTTTGGCATAAAACATTTTATTACCTAAAATTTATTTATTGCCACTAGCTGTATGTTTAAAAGCTTAAATTAGTTTTTATCTTACTGTATTAATAGTTTGGATTTTTTTTGTTTTACCTGGACATTAATACTGTTAAAGCGTTGCTTAAAATTTAAAATTTTGAATGGAACCGCGTTTAACATGTTTATGTCGTCCGAACAAGGGTTTAAAACTCAATGAGGGTAATAAAATATTCGGCAAACAAAAGGTAGTTGGATGCGACATCCAAAATGCTAAATTCATATACCTCGTCTTTGCCAAAATGAGAACGATAGTGCAGTGGGAATGATGCAAGTAGGTATGCGTCATACTGTCGTTACAAAAAATTTTGGTGTTTCTAAATTGACAATAACACGACTAATGAGACGTTTAAGATATACTTTTTCCTTAAGTGACAGACCACGTATAGTGGACGTCCAAGAGAAACGACGTTCCGTCAAGACCATCGAGTAAGATTCACTCATTTCTAGGGCCGGTTTCTGCCTGCTACAATTACTGCAACACAAACACGTGGGAGGCACAATCTAAGAATATCTTCAAACTGTTTGTATCAGGCTAAGAGAGGCTGGTTTACGTTCACGACGTTCACCACTAGGCACCATTCTTCGCACTGCACGCCTTTGTTTGGAAAACGCACGTTTATACTGGAACCGTGTTAGGTGGCAAAATGTACTCTTAAGTGATGAGTCACGTTTCGTTTGCGTAAAAGTGATGGCAGAATGAGAGTTTACAGACGCCGAAATGAGCGTTATGCAGACGCGTGAGTGCATGAATGTGATCCCTTTGGTGGGGGTGATGTGAAGGTTTGGGCAGGAATCACGCATTGTGGACGCACTCACTTCACATTCATAAACGAAAGTCATGCTGGACTGCGTTATCGTGACAAACTTCCCTCTCCATTTGTCCAACCATTCATTGCAAAGCAACAGGACAATCCGATGTGTCAAGTGGTACGTGTATGCACACTGTATCTTGGGCAGAATAACATTCTTTAATGGCCAGCTCTATCGGCAGATCTATCACCAATTGAACATATTGGATGAACCTCACAACCGTATTCGTAGACGTCATCAGCCACCAGAGTTTGTCAAACAGCTCCGAACAGCCTTGTTTGAGTAAATCCACAAGCCTTGATCAAACGCTTAATTGGATCCACGCGTCGCATATTAAGTGCTGCAATCAACGGAAGAGGTGGTCATACGCGCTATTAACTCTTTAACTTTTGGTTTGGACGACGACATCATCAAACTGTCCATGCAATAAGGCAAATAAATTGTGATCTGTTTTCATTGTTAAGTTTGTATGCTTTTTTGTTACTGTTTTATAAGATTCAAAGCTAAAAAAACATTGTTGAAAACTAAAATGATATGTTTAATAAAATTAGGGCACCGTTTCTTTTGTGGATAGTATATACATAGAATAATCTTTGACTATAAAGTTTGCCTTTTTATTCCATTTGCCTCTGACATATTAATAAAATGAAATGAAATATCAGGCTAATGTCTACAAGACAATCCAAAAACACAACAAATCATAGGCTCTAAAGAGCCTGCATTATTTACACGGCATTTTTCACTAATTAAAGATAAGAATTTTTCTGATAATTTCTGACAAATCATTCAAGGACTATAACTCCTATAAAGGGGTCTACTGACCATTTCCGCCTTGTTCATTCATTAGTATAGATATTGTCATTCTTATCATTTTAGTTGTTTACAGTTTCTTTCAATCTACTATAGACCCACAAAAATGGGTAAAAATCATCTTTCAAGGGAAATAACTCCCTTAAGGAGTCAAATAATAATTTAGGCCATGTTGACCTATTAGTCGATTTGTTTTTACTGCTGGTCTACAATAGTTTCTGCAAAAAACACAAAACATCACCTTTCAAGGACACAAATCATACGAATAGTTTATTTACCATTAAGGCCATGTTAACTTATCTGTAGATCTTAACCTGATATTCATTTTGTTGTTTACAGTGTTTCTCCCTTACTACTAGAGTTTCCGCACAAAAACACAAAAGCGGGTAAAATTGTCTTTTAAGGGCATTAATATAACTGATATAAGGAGTTGCCTTTTAATTTTAATCATTTTTGACTAGTCTGTAGATCCTGTTGATCATTTTTGTTGTAGACAGTTTCTCTTTTTCTACAATAATTCCCATAAAATAACTCAAAAACAAGTAAAATTCGTCTTTCAAGGGCAGTAACTTCTAAAAGGAGTAAAAAAAAAAGCTGACAATTTTGACTACGATCAAAGCCAAAGTCTTAAAATAAAAGACGATAAAATTGTCATTTAACGGCATTAACTCCTATAAAACAATTGTCTGATAGTTTTGATCTAAATGGACAGAGGTAGATCTGGACATTCTGAACATTTCTGTTGACTGTCAGAACTTCTCGTTCTATAACAGTTTTAAAGATAATGGACAATACTTGTGTTTAACCACCATGTTCTATTTTTAGCCTCGCCAGCAATGTTGGTTACTAAACGAAATCATCAGACATATCTCTTTAAGACAACAACCCAAATGTTGATTGTGGTCAGTTTGGTTCTACTTGGGACAGTAGTTTCAAAGGAGAAGCTTTTGATTTAAAATGTAACAGACGACAATGAGAAGAAGTAACAGATGGTTAAGGAAAGTGATTGGAAAAGGTCGTATGGCCCTTGGGCAAGGTGAGCTAAAACAGATGTCAATATGAGGTCTTCAAAAAAGAAGTGCCTACATTACAAGCCTGAATAAATAGGAATCAATTCCACAAGAAATTTTCCATAATGGTAAATCTTTATTTTACAACATAACTTATGTTTTTAAAGAACTTACAAGACCCCTAGATGTATTCTCTAAAGCCAGTTACACAAGTGTAGATCACTTTGTTCTGATACTGCGAACTGAACTGATATGTGAAACTGTATCAAATTCATCTTTTAGATAAAACTCTAGGCTTAAGAATCATGAAAAATTAGCACACCTACTCACAAAGTATAATGATAGTAGGTCAATTGGTTGATGAAAATTTAGGTACAGATATAATCACAAAAAATGATTCCAACTGTACTCTGATAATCTCCCTTATCTTTCTTCAGCCAAACCTAATACAAATATACATTTATATACTATCAATATTTGATATAGTTTTTTATTATATTATTTCCAACATTAAGCTTACTTGCTCTAAAATCCAATCATTCTCATGCTGAGAATGGATGCTGAGTAAGTTGGATTTTTTATCATAACACGTCTGTACCGCGTCTTTGAAATATATAAAAACACGTTCTCCTATGAAGTAACAATAGCCATCAAAATATAGCCAATCACTTTCACAATATTCTGCAAGTAGAAACAATAATATTAGAATTGATGAACAACTCTTTTCAAGCATTAAAATAAAACATGAAAGGACCAATCAAATCAATACCTGTGGGCAATAAGTGAAGTCATTCGGAATCCTTCAATTTTTGCAACAACTTTTTGAAAGTTTTAAAACAAAGTTTTGTTTTATAAAATTATACAAAAGTAGAATGTATTTATGTAGAATACCATCTATCAGATTCCAGAATCAGTGAACTGTGAAATTTGGTAAAATCCTTAATTTGGCATAGTATTTAAAAGTTCACATCTTAATGTACATGTGTTTACTGTAAGTTTGAAATACATGTAACATCAATTTTATGGTAAACTAACTGAAACCAGAACTTTGAACCGAAAAGGGTAGAGACCGATGGAGATAGCGCTTAACATAGGAGGGAAATTAACATTTTTGGGGTCAATGAATCACATTTGCTTGAAAACTGACATGCCAGCAAAGGCCTCACTTGCATACTTAATGGTGATGCATACAAATCAATTGATGTTCATGGGATTCAATTTTCAATAATTTTGACAACAGAATGTGCTGAGGATAAATATTAGTTTTGGAAAAATCTAAGAACTATTTATTTTTGGTAGGCAAACAATAATGGTTGACACAGGAAATCATCTTATAGGTTAACCTATACTTACATATAGATTTTCATTGAAATAAAAGCAAAAACTACTTTACTAAACTTTACTACCTTTCAATCAATTTGTTTTGAAATCCAATCACAAAAATAGCTTTCTCAAAATTTAAGATTTTCAATTAAAAGCAAATTTATACAAAATTAAAAGTTTTTTTTTTTTAACCTAAAATCATTATTATATAGCTTATTTTAATTATATTTTTAATTTCTGAGGAAATCCTAACATTTAATTTTTTTTTTAAATTTGTGATGTTTTCACAAAAGTTTTTCATCTCATCTTTCCCCTATGTTGTTTAGCTGCAAATCTGACACCAAGAATTTTGAAGGGCATGTTAATCCTCCATCTTACTTTTTGTTGAAATGGAAACAAAAAAAGATGTTTCTCAAAATTGGTGAATTTTAACAAAAATATGTTTCCACACCAATCTTTTCCCACAATTTAAATAAAAATAATTTTTGAAACTGAAAATTTTTTTAACGGCATATTAAACCTATTTATTCAATAGTTGTTGAAATCCTTACACAAAAAGATGTTTTTCACAATTTATGATTTTATAACCGAAAGTAATTTTTACCACATTTAAAAAAAAATTTTGACATCTGAATTTAACTTGAAAAATCTGTTCATACCTTTATATCAGTTTGAATTAAAATTCTAAAAATTCACAACAAAGACTTAATTTAAATGGTTATTTTACACCAAACAAGATTGCAACCATTGTCGCGCTAAGCATACCCCAGTCATAATTCGGAAAACAGGAAGAAGGTGTCGTACAGATCCAAATAAAGGTCTCATACTTTAGACTCATCTTATATGAAGTAATTTTGTTCAGTAATATTTAAGAAAAGGGTGATGAAAAATTCAATGTATGGGCAAACAGGAACTAAGTCATTGCTGTCAAGCTGCTGACAACATATGAAATCATTCTTTTCAATAGTATCTGAGATAGTGTGACCAAACACTTTAAATTAATACAAGATATTGAAACAATCAAAGTATCAGTAACCAGGAAGTATATGTCTGACAGAAGATCTGAAAAGTGCGCACGTTACAATTTATCACTGTTTAGCTGCTGACTTAATATGAAGTCATTCTGTCCAGTAATACACGAGACAAACATAACAGACATATTTGTTGGACAAAATTATTGACAGACGGACAAACAGACAGACAGACTGAGAAGGTAAATGCAATATAGTCCTGTCAGTATAATGGAAATATAGTTATCACAAAAAATCAATTTTCGTCATTAGAAACCAATTTTGATAAGCATATCCTAACTTATCAAAAGGGACCTTCCTTCTATATGTTTTTTTTTTAAATGTGGAAAAACGGATTAGACAGTCGTAAGTTTATCGTAGTACATATAAGTGCTAACGGGTAGAAAGGCCGAGTGATGACTACAGGGCACCAGACGAATAATAATGTTATAATCCAATGCAACAACTGCATTACCAATACTTAGAGGAATTTTCAAGTTAAAACATCTGAATTGACATATGTTTGCAAAAATCTTCCTAGCATTATCCTTGGTAATTTGATTGCCGTTTTGTGGTATAAAGAAATAAATACAGATGCATTATCTAGTTCTAAGCATGTAAAAAAACTGCTTGAATAACACTTTTAATTGCTGGTGTCAAATAAAAAATGTCTCTGTGTCTTGATTTCATGCTTATTGTACAGCTTTCTCTTGGAATGATAGTTTTTTTAACAGCAATTAAAACTCAAATACTTCAAAAATACTGTAAATCAAAATATTATATTTACAATTAAAAACTCTTATTGTACTCATACTTACCTTTAGTGTATGTTTTATTTGGTTCTATCAATGGCATCCCTGAAACATATCATTTGACTTTTGTTATCACAACTAATTGTAGTACTGAAAGAAAGCCCTAAATATTCTCAACTCCTTCAGAAGGGGGGAGGGGGGGGGGGGGGATACATATGTGCTTTTAATTAAGAATCGGTGACTAGAGCCAATTACGGCAGAACAAAGTCCAATAACTCTAAAAAGAATCAAAATGACAGTATAATAAAGATTTCTAAAATGACCAGTTAAGGCAGAAATTGTTAACTGTAAAGATACATGGGCATACAGTGTGATGTTGATTGCAGACAGTGGCAGGATTTGATACTTTATAAAGTCTTGAATGTTAGAATGATTAATTATTAAACTTTACAATTATGGTATTCTGAAATGGTTTCAATTTGTTATCACAGTACTTTATACAGGTTCTAGGCATTTCATGTCAGAAAACATGCACATAGGGCAGGCTGACAATAGCGAAAGTCTAGTTTTCAAATTCTTTAAAATTGAAACAGAGGTGTGGTATTGAATGTACTGTAAAAACTAAGTTAGGGGTATACGAAGTATTTTTTTTAAGAAACGATTCTGATATGTTTTGGTGTGAAAAATTTTTTCTATCTAATAAATGTTGGTACCATATATATAGGTTGCACTTTGTAAATACAGCTGATTCACAAACCTTGCCACTACTGGGGAGATACTTTATATTCATATATATTTTGTTTTGTTTTCCTACTGGTTCTATGTTTCATCTCATAGACACATCTTGGGAATTTTACCAGTATAAATACTGTTAGATAGCAAACAAATTTAATTCTCAGGACGACTCAAAGTAAAAGTGGGGAAAGGGGGAAAAAGGGGGGGGGGAGGGGGGGGGGGGTGTTAGTACAGACATTTAGTATAAGTTTAACCTCTTAAAAGTTCAAGCCATATAAATGTTAAAAATATGCCGTATGTTTTGACCTTTGCCATAATTAGTAGTGCATATGTACTTCCCATTCTACGATATTTTACTAAACTTTATAGTAAAAGTGGCACATTTTTAGCCGTAAAAGGAGTTCCTTTAAGAAATTATATTGTCTATATTTACAGAAGTACAAGCTATAAAATGAAAAAAAAGTTAATTGGATTATCTCCCTTTTAACATGTGGGGACAGGATTATATGCCTTAATGCACATTCTCAGGTTGTGTTCTACGATTGTGTTAATATGAAAACGAGAAGCTGTGGTATAAATGCCAATAAGATTACGCTCCACCAGAGACCAAATGACTTAGAATTTAGCAAATATATGTCACCATACGGCCTTCGACAATGAGAAAAACCCATATCGCATAGACAGATATAACAGGCCCCGAAATGTTCATCAATATCGGTGTTGCATTTTAGAATGATTTTTAGATAACATGCTTTTAGCTCATGTTGCAATATTGAAGTAAGTAAATTGGATTTTCTCCTTTTCAGCATTCTTAAGGATGTACTTAGGTCAGGTTTAGGAATTTGTGTCAGATGTTCGGACTCCTTGGCTTTTTTCCTACGATACAGGGTAAAATATTTTGCCCCGTAACACCCATTTTTCTTTTCATATATGACTTCAATAGCTGATAAAAGGTCATTAACCAAAATTAAAGCAGATTCTAGATTTTTTTTTTCGATTTGAGACCCAAATAATACCAATGCAAATATAAGATAAAAGTCAGAGTCAGCCTTTTCCCGCAGTTTTTTTAAAAATTAAATATCTCGAAAAGGAGCTCCATAACACATCAATATTTTTAGCTTATTTTGTTCCTTAACTAATGTTCTTACGACTTATAGTATCAATTTCAATTTCTAGACTTTTTTAATTTCACCTGAGTACATCCTTTAGGCATTAATAGGACATATTTTTTATAGCACTTGTTGTTTTCCCATGTCTAATTAGTAACTGCTATTTACTGTTTCATTTGTAATATCAGTGTCAGGATTAAAAGATTTGTGTTTGCATCCAAATGTTTACACTGCTGTGTAATTGTTTATATCATTCAAAATGATAAACCTTCTTAATTGTTTTGACAATGTGTGCACCTCACATGTATGTATAAAAAAGAGGTCCCCAGCAATTATAATCTGTTCTTTGAAATTATCAGCTGATTAAGGAAGGACAAAATTATTCCTATACTATCCTTTAACCAAACTTTGTCTGCAATAGTTATTATGAATGTATTTACTGAAACAGCAGACTAGGTAGCTTATTATTCTACCTATTATATGAACACACAAATGCCTTGGCGAGAATTTTGGTAGAAAAACAAAATATATAATGAAATGGTGAAATATTTCTACAAATACAGTGAATTGACCACCCTGCCAGAAGACTAGCATCAGAAGAACAATTTTCAAAATTTTGACTCCAATTAATATCTGGAGAAATCAACCATTGACTATGCAATAGTTTTCATTGTAACATGTGTAACTCAATGTATCTTTCTAATTTTCAATCTATAGCTATGTAACTGATGTCGTATGAACAGACTTATACCTTTTTGAAATTTGCAAACAAACGATTTACGTTTGTAACAATTATCATCATTCCATGTATGCCATCTATCCATGTGATATCTTAAACTAGTAACACAATCTTCTTGTTGAAATTTATCGTTGGGTTCATTTTGTCCCCATATCATGACGTTCACTGGGGATCCATCAGACCATTCAAAACCTGAACATTAAAAAATGCGTAGAATTAAAAACAGCTTGACATTTTGGTAACTATCTTCTTCTTTGGTGGCAATTTCTAATTAAATAATGTATATATAGAACACTTTGAATACTCTCCACCAACTACTGTGATTTCATCATTATTAGTGGGATAAGTACAAATTTTCTATAGGCTTGTATGCAGACTTTGTTAAACCCAGGAATCAAATATCCACTGAAATACATTTTTTGGCTCAATTCACGAAAATAATTGAATCCACAGTAATTTTCGGGAGTAAAAATTAAGTCTCTAATATGTAAAATTCGGGTCTTCCCATATATAAATGCATTAAGAAAAAACCTTCAATGTAAAAGAAGGCAGAATACATGAATAGTAAACTTACCATTTTCTGAATCTCTATCATTTAAACCAATCCAAACCTCATCAAGGCCACTGTAGTAAAATAAATTTTTCTAACGCTATATTTAGTTAAAAGAGTGCATGTTTACCAAAATTAATGTAATTTTCAATTAAAAACTTTGCCTAATCCCAAAATTTACTTGATTTCTTTTTTAAGAAAGTGATCTTCCTTTTGGTCCCTTCTAATGGAAAGTTGTTTTCACCACCTCGATTTCTATAACAATGTTTTATTGATGCTATTGCTTTACCATCATGTAAACGTATCATATCGTTACTATCTTTTTCTCATACTGTTTATGATATCTTTACACCTTAACTGTTGGATGTGTACTGATTGATACTTTAGTCTAGGAGAACATGATTTATTTATTAGTTGTAATGGGTTTTGATATAACTTTCAGTTACTGCGAGTACTCTTAGATCGATACTTTTTAGTCTTTTTCTTTTAAGTTTAATATCAATCTATTCAGATTTTTTTTCAGTTTGTTCGTATGTTGTGCTGTTAAACCACTGTCCGCGGTAAGTGGAAGTGTAAGCGCTCACAAACATGTGTAACCCCTCCACATTCTCTATGAGCGCTGAACGGTTGAAGTTGGTTGGTGTCTGTCGTTAATCGTTTTGTTTTGAATCCGGCCATTTATATTCTAGTTTGTTACATTATGTCATGTCAGGGACTTTAATAGCTGTATAAATAGTTTGTGTTTTGCTCACTGTCGACGGCTGTAGTGTGACCTATAGTTGCTAATGTCCACGTCATTTGGAATCTGGAGGTTAGCTCTTTTGTTAGTAATCATACCAAATCTCATTATTTGTATTTTGATAAACCTTAAACAGTAGAAGTATTGACGAAACATCCCTGCTCTCAAGTAAAAGTGTTCTTTTATCCCTATTTTTAACTATATTTCATGTCTTTCAATTCGAGTACAAAAAACATTAACTTTTGACATAGTGAAAACTCTGAAAACAGGTTGTTTGAAAATAAACGAATATAAAATATTTTATTATTCATCTCTTCAGTGATTAGGGATAGATCTTATGCATTTGATACTTTACCACAGGAACTATACAGTCATGTAATATTCAGTTTCTTTTAAATAGTCAATTCTTTTCATCTGGAGATTAAAAAAAGTGCTAAGTACTATATTTCACTAAAGATTTGTAAGTTCGGGGCAATGTCTTCTATAAGGAGTTAATTGACAATTTTTGACATGTTACTTTTGTTGATCTTGGGAAGCTGATCATTTTTGCTTTTAGAAATTCTATAGATATATTTTATTTTAGTTTTCAAGAAAAAAGACAGACAGACCAATTACAAAACTTGAAAATCAAGGGCAATAACTGCTTAAAGGAGTCAATTGATAATTATATAATATACAAATATCACTAACTTATAGTACATTTAGCAAAAAATGCTCAGGTAAAGCTAAAGGAATCTAAGAGAAACTCACATAAAGTAGCTTGTATCTTCTCAGCAATATTTATTTCAATACAAATCGATTATTCAAATAGTTTACAGTACCATTCAAATTGAACTGACTAGTTGAAGAAAATTGTTAATATGTGCATGGTTTTTGTTGTAAGAGATCTTTTTTTTATAAAAAGTAGGAAAAGAAAGAATTCGAAAGAAAGCTTTAAACTGTTCATTATATATCACCTGCTGATCCTAACAAAATTGTTTTCTTCACTACTGTGAATACTGACTAAATCTGCTCCTCTATCTCGACAGAAGTTACGGCTCTTCATCCAAGTTCTTTGTTCATTTCTCTTATTAAATTTCTTAAACATAGAAAACACAAAACCAGTTTAAGGTGTTAGAATATAACATTTGTCAAAAACTAAGTTCATAATCTTCCTATTTATTTGGTAAAAAAAAACATTATGATTACAGTTTGGATACCTTTACCCAAAAGCAGTTGAATTTTGGTACGGGAAATCCCTTAGAATCATATTCATAATGTCCTATAGAAGAATGTTTGCAAGTGTGGTTTAATTTTGTCAAGCTGTTTTCAAGAAAATATAGATTAAAAAAAAGAGGTGGAAGATACCAAAGAGATATTCCAACTTGTAAGTCGAAATTAAACTGACAACGCCATTGCAAAATAAAACGTAAATGTGTAATTAGATAGGTCACATTCGAGGAAGAGGACAGGTCTGTGGTAAAACCCATTAAAACATATCCGTCGTCATCTCTAAAACAGATATTTTGTAACGGTCAACCATCTCATGATGGCTTTCGTAAATTTTTGAATGGTTGACCTTACCGTCATAACTTGGATCCCTTGGTTTAATAGCTTCCTTGTAAGCAGCAACCTTCTACATTGAAAAAAAAAAACACCTTATATAGAAAGCAAAAATCACTGCACGTGTGACTACTCGGCTACTTTCAAAAACAGATCTTTTTTAATATCGAAAATAAATTTATAGCAAAACCTTTCACAATTGGTCAATTACATTTTACCGTTTTGTCTTTTCATTTATTACGCAAAAAATAAAAGAACAGAGTTCCAATGTCACCGTGTTTCACATAACTTATCTTTCCAAAGACAATAACTATAATATATTCTGTTGTTCATTCAAACTTTTTATAAATATCTTAGAGAAATGACTGAGAGCAAATGCAAATGCAAAGCAATTTCCGGTATAAATAATATTTCCAAGTGGCATAACTCTGAAGTATTTGATTGACACTGATTTTCACAAATGTCCGAGACATTGCTCATATAAACCTTTGATATAAATTTGTTAAAAATCAGGCAAAAACTGTACACGTGAGAGCGCTTAGAAAGGGGCATAACACTTTAAGAAACAGTTGATCGGATCTGGTTTTCGAAATTGTCCGAGACATTACTCATATATACCTATGATATCAGTTTTATAAAAAATCTGGTAAGAATTCTACACATGAGAGCGCTAACAATGCAATTTTCCATATAATTAGTATTTCAAAGGGGCATAACACTTTTAAAAACAGCTGATCGGCATTGGTTTTTGAAATTGTCCGAGACATTACCAATATAAACCTATGATATAAGTTTTATAAGTAACTTATAGGTGCACACGCCACATGTTTTGGCCGGAAAAAACTTTTTTAAAGACAGAGTATAAAAAAGGTAGAATGTGTTTGAAGGCCCTGGATGCCACCATTACAACCTTTGAATTTGGTGGAAAACGAAATGTGTCCATCAATATAGGGGCTAAATTCTAAAACAATAAATGATCCTCCACCCACATTTGACCTCTATCTGTGTATTATAGTCCTAAGCATTGTGACATTTACTTGCCTTTAATAAGAGTAAATGTGAAGACAAGTTTACTTCTTCATTCAAATAAACTAGACACATTTATTTCAAAATAGTTACAGTGAACAAATATTTGTACACATGTGTTCATTATATCAGTATGTTAAGTTTTGTAATCTGCTGTGGTACAGGTGCATGTTAATATTATTTCTACATAACTAGTAAAATGTAGAGGTTTAATTAATTACGATTTGATGATGTCTAACTCTGCAAAATTCACTTTCCCATCAAGTCACATGATAGTAGGTTACATAGTATCCGAGAAATAAACTTTGACATAAAACTTAACAAGGTTCAAGGAAAGATGAAATTTAAGACAAAACAACCTTTTTATAGGAAACGATGTCGTCTGACTCCTCAAGATGCCAATCACACACAAAGTAGCATGACTGTAGGCAACGTAGTATTTGATAAATATATCTGACCAACATTTACACAGACTTAAAACTTAACAAAGGTATCAACCATGAGATTCATGTTAGTTGGTACCTGATGTACCTTCATACCAAGTCCCAAGTAAGAAGAGTTATATTTATTTTATTTCACATTATGAATTTTAATTGTTTTTCAAGAATCTGGATTCCTGGGGTATAATAGCCATTCATTTTTCTGTGTAAAAGTGTCAATTTAAACTCATTAAAACATGTTGTGATTTACCTTGAAATCATATAATACATGTTAAACTGTGAAAATTGATCCTGTAAAAGAATTCAAAATTGAAATTAGCAATAGCTTATCTTTGCAATGAAATTCATGTATATCTTCACAAAAATGGAAATTACCTAGACTTTGGAAAAAAAAACATTCTTAACAAATTATAATAAGGGGAATGCCGAAAAATAATCTAATATCAAGAAAAAAGACAAAGCAGATCATGATTTTAAAGTAATTAATAAAGTTAAAAATATAGATTAGTTCGGCAAGTCAAGAATTTGAAAGTTAACAAATATTTTGTTTGTAAAATAATTAGAAATTTATTTACCATCGTATTAAGCAACTATTGCAATAATTTTCGTATTTTACTATTTGAAACTTCAGTTTAATTGCATTTATTAAATGTATACATTTATTGATAAATCAAAATACTCATTTTACATTAGACACACGTTATTAACGAGCTCCAAATAGTTAAAGGTGAATAATTAAAGGGTCATCGTTATCTAAGAGTATGAGAAGAATTACAGGAAAGGTCAAAACGCCACACACAATCGATAAAAATACGGTTAACGTCTAAAAATAGGGAGGGGAGGACTGCTATTTTAGTGCTAATACCATAAACGGTCTAATTTTTCTGCACCAGATGCGCATTTCGACGATCAATGTCTCTTCAGTGATGCTCGAGGTCAAAATATTTGAAAATCCAAAGCTTATTAAAAAGATGAAGAGCTATTAGCCAAAAAAGGACAAAAAAAGTATAGCCAAAGCCGGCCAGGCTACTGTCGTGAAATAGTGGTTATAAATAAGACTTTGACCATACCTTTAGATTTTTTTCCGGCATTTTCGCAAAATAGCAGGCAGAATAACCATTTGTTTTTTTCTGGTATAAATTTTTAATATCATATATTTCTTATTGCAACTAAAATTTTCAATTACAAACACGTGTTGCAGGTTCTAAATAGTGACGACTTCAAGTCTTAACCTCCTGATTGCTCCTGCTTTACTTCCCCATTCATATATAATCCGGCTGGTCACGGTATTACTGGTGACCTAAACATTGTCAATAACACTTCTCTGCGAAATGTGTTATCCAAAGGCACGAAATATTGTGAGCCTAATTCCATCAATTGGAAACACAACTTCAAAATACTGATGGATTCAGTCGAGGATTATGCCAAGCAATGGGTTTAACGCGAGAAATAAGGCATAGATACTCTTTCCGAATGGATTAAGGCTGTTAGGTCGTTGATAAAATCAGAATTAAAAAAACTGAATAGGTCTATGAATACCTATGCTACATCAATCTTTAAAGACCCAAATGTTACAAAACACCTGTTCTACCTCCATGACAGATATGTTGTTTTCCCAGCAGATAAAGCCCCAAAACAACATCGTTTTTGTGTATAAATCACATTACATAAACATGATAAACTATTTGATACATGAATAAGGTATTGACAATTCACTTGGAAACCCAACATATACCCTAACGACACTTACCAAGGAGGAAATCCTGGATAATCATAGGTATGTTCTATGTTCCTTTAGAATTTCAACTAAAGATGAAGAACTGGATCTTCCTTCACCGTATTAGATACCTAAACTACAGAAGTGTCCTTACAAACACCGTTATTTTGCTGGGTCTTCCAAGTGCTATACGAAACCTCTTTCTAAATTATTAACATCAAATGTATCAGCAATCAAAGCCGGGCTTTAAAATTATTGTGAAACTACCTATATATATATTTTAGAGGTGGCGTTAATCAGTTGTTGATACTAAAAAAATTCAAAGATCTTCTAGAGTGCAAACATTCTAAAACTCTTTCATCTTGCAATAGTATTACAACATTTGACTTTTCTACACTTTACACAAGTGTTCCCCATTCCAAACTAAAAGACAAATTAAAAGAGTTGGTACTGCTTTGTTACATAAAGAAGAATGGCATACATAGATACAAGTTTCTTGTCTTAGGGAGGGATAAATCGTACTTTGTAAAAAATCATTCTGATTCAAACAAAAAATTCTCTGAAACTGACATAATCAAGATGCTTGATTTCTTGATTGACAATTATTTGTCACGTTTGGAGGACGTGTTTTCAACGAAAAATCGGTATTCCCATGGGAACCAATTGTGCTCCTCTTCTTGCCGACTTGTTCCTTTAGCAGTATCTTTTAACCTCACTTTCCGCTATATAAATAATGTTATCTCACTAAATAATTCAAAATTTGGTGACTTTGTTGAACGCATCTATCCCATCGAACTTGAAATAAAGGATACAACAGATACAGTTAAGTCGGCCTCATATCTTGACTTACATCTAGAATATGACAATGGTGGTCGGTTGAAAACAAAACTTTACGACAAAAAGATGATTTCAGCTTCCCAATTGTGAACTTACCATTTCTATGTAGCAACGTTCAAGCAGCACCTGCATACGAAGTATATATCTCCCAGTTGATAAGGTATTCTAGGGCTTGTATCTCTTATCATGTATTCATTGATAGCGGGTTGCTGTTTACAAGGAAGCTATTAAACCAAGAGTTCCAAGTGGCGATGTTGAAATCGTCCCTTCGTAAATTTTACGGACGCCATCACGAGTTGGTTGACCGTTATGGAATATCCGTTTCAAAGATGACAACGGATATGTTCTAATTGTCGTTACTACATTCCCGTCCCCTTTTCCTCGAATGTGACCTACCGAATTAGACTTATCACAGGCTTTTTACTAAAATGAGCAACATGATGGATGCCACAGGTGGAGCAGGATTTGCTTACCCTTCCAAAGCACCTGAGATCACCCCCAGTGTTTGGTGGGGTT